CATATCTTATTATGTGCCATATCTGTAACAGTTTATTCTAGCTTTCTACTATTGCATATGCACAGTTAAGATGATCATATCCCTTTATGCATTTTTTTCTCTTGTGCACAGTCTTATTTTTATGATCACTTTTATTTTAGTTTCAGACCTAAAACATATCTAAAAAGACAAGTGAAATACTTTTTGGACTCCTTTCTAGTCTTACTCTGTTTCCTGTCATCCCAGTTTGTCACGCTTTCAAAGTTGATATATATTTTATGATACTTAAAAAATAAATCTCCAGAGTTTTGTGAGATATTCCAGTTTTCAGTTTTTTGCTATTATTTTGATGCAGTTATCTTTTGTTTTATGCACACATGTAAGTCTATTTTAAAGTAATATTGCCAACTCATGAGGGTTATTTCTTTTCCAGAAACATTTACGTTTCAGCCAGTTTTTTAAAAAAAGAAGTTATCTTTTATCCTCAATTCTATAATTGATGTGCTTCCTTTGCTGCTTTATAAAGTAGTAAATAACTTTTCTAAAGTAATTAAGGTAGCTTTCTTTGTGAATGTCTCTGGAAATGTCTCTGGTTTCAGTTTTTTGTTTTCAGAGATGTTTGTTGTTTGTTATGCATTTTTACATATGTAAATGTTTGTTGTACATTTTTTACAACTCTAAATAATATTATCAAATTAGTTATCCAAGAGAATTTTCTAAGTTTACATTTTCATCCTCGTGCCAGTGCTAATTGTTAATATTTTTAATGTTCTTTGCTTTTTAAGTAAGTAGAATGATTTGGCCTTTTAAAATTCTATTACAATTTCAGAATTTTTTTATTAATTTTATTGAATCACCATGAGATAGTTATAAGCTTTCATGTTTGGGTTACAATCACACACAATTTCAGAATTTTGATATTATAGGATATTCATATATTTAGTGTATATCATCATTGATGTGACTTCTGCTATTGGAACTTGAAATAAAGAGAAAAAATATTACTAAACTTATTTTGAACTTCTTTTTAGTATTTGAAACTGTCAAACAATACCAAAGAATTTGAAGATTGTGAGCAAGCTAATAAACTGGGAGCAATTAACAGCACATTAAGGCAAGTTTTATTTTAGTAGTATTAAGATTATATTCTCTTAATTATATTCAGAAATCTTCTGTTTTTTCTTTTTTATTTTATTGTATCACCATGAGACAGAGTTACAAAGCTTTCATGTTTGAGGTTCAGCCACACGATGATGGAACACCCATCTCTCCACCAGTGCGCATTTTCCACCACCTACATCCCAGTCCTCACCCTGCCTCTATGGCAGACAATTTCCCTAAAAATCTCTCTCTAGTTTTGGACATTGTGTTTTGCTTGAATTTTCCCACCACCATTCAAGCCAGGAGCAGAAGCTAGATAATTTATTTTCCATTGCTCATTTTGAATATCATGAGAGCTCACCTGGCCGTGATTGTAAATGTAACTTTCTAGATTGTAAATGGTTGGGTTCCACACTCCCTCTTGCAGCCGTGTGTCTCATCTCTCCACGCTCCTGCTCCTGTGTTCTTCCTTTACATTCTTCTCCCTCTGTCCCCCTTGCTAGTCACTCTGCGGTCCATCTTGCTGCCTGGCCTCTCCCTCTAGTCTCTCTCCCTCTACTTCTTCTTCCCAACTTCCCAGCATTGTGGGTAGGCACTTCACCCCATTTGGCAGCAAAATCAACGTAAGAAAGCCCTTTCTTCCTTTGCTCATGGGCTAAATGCCACTTAAGGTGTTTTTCTTCTTTTCTTAGTCCAATAACTTAATTCTACTTCTTAATATTGGTTATTTTGTATGGACACAGTAAGAGATATATTGAGCTTGTAGGTTGGCTCTCCTGGGGACATCTTGCCACAGATTCAGACTACAGTGCTCAGGCCGGATTAATCATTCCTAACCCTAGCAGGGTCTGAATTTAGTTATTGCTTTTTGGATTATGACAGCATTTGTCCATGACCATGCTCTTAGAGTTAAGCATTATGGTGTTTTGGCCAGGCCCATTTTGATACCAGGGTAGCACATAGCTCACAGCTTGCCCTGGGTCCAGTCAGTCCCTTGTCAGGACCCTGCTTTGGGATGCTAGGAAGTAAGGACAACTGAGGGTTAAGTCGAGAGAACAGATGTCCAGTAGGTAAATATCATTCAGAGTCAATTAACTCCCAAGTTATGAAGGCATGGCATTAACTGTCTTCTTGTGCCCATACAAAAAGGACATTGCTCTGAATTAATTATGCAAAGGACTTAAGGAGAAGAAAAAAACAATATTTACAAGTCAACAGAGCACAAAGAAAGAAGTTACAAATAAACACAGAGGAATGGGAGCATTGTGATGGGAGCAACCCAATAAACCTAAGCTGCCTGTGGTAAGGCGGAAAGGACAAACCAATGTTATCCTACACCCAGGAACCAGCAACAATCTCAAGGGCTGGGAGAGCCACACCTGTGATGCTTGGAGAGAACCATGTGGTGCTGGAAATCAACCCTGTGACCACATGGTCTAATTACTGTGCTAATCCATGGTCTCTGTTGTACTCTATAAAATTGGTGATCGGTGAAGGCCAAAGTGTTACTGTCCTTTAGTGAAGAGCTCATGAATTAAGGACTTACAGTTTGGCAGTGTGGGGGAATAGTATTCCAGGCATGTATAAATAAATGTAAGTAAAAAGACCCTGAGATATGAGTATGCTGGGACTATTTGAAGAACCACAAGAAGACAAGTGTGACTAAAAGTATAATAATCAAAGACAGATGAATAGAGGATAGGGCCAGAAGATGCAAAGTTAGGGATACTGGTAGAGTGGGTCAGAGATTTTTTATAGAATGTGTGGAAATTAAAGTCACTAAAGGTTTTTGAGAGCTTGAGCAAGCCAGGATTTATGTTGTGAAAGTCAGTTGTGTGATTATTACAGTGTCGTAGAAAAGACTCAAGTCTTTTGATTGCCCATTTTGACCGGCATAACCGTGGAAGTGTAAGACTGGATAAATGTGGAAGATGTTGGGATGGGGTTGGACCATAGCCAACAGTGCTTGGACTACTCCTGGTTCTATGCATATGAGTAGCTCCAGGGTGTACAATCTGATTTAGGGTTAAACCAGGTTGGCTGCATGCAAGTATCTTAATCCCTAGATTAATTCTCTGACTCTGGATAAATGTTGAAATTAGAGTGAACAGGATTTGCCAAAGAACTGGATGTGAGGTATCAAATTTAGACTTAATAAATTTGAGCTGCCTCTGAGATATCCATTTGGAGATGGGAGGCATTTGGATATGTAGTTTGTTTTCCTAGTCATATGCCATCCAACAATTCATATGACTTTGAATTGTGTTAGTATAAATTAATTTTGTCTACTTTAATGGAATAATGTGGAATATGTTACTTTTAATCGGTATATACTATTGTATCGTAAGAATGAACACCAGTGTTATAGTCCTTTTGTGGAAATCTGGATATTTTCCAGTTGGGGGATATTTTGTTATTTATTTTGGTAGACAGTGGTATATATTTTTTTTAAGGTAAAGCACAGCGGGTAGGGCGTTTGCCTTACAAGCGGCCAACATGGCCGACCCGAGTTCGATTCCTCCGCCCCTCTCGGAGAGCCTGGCAAGCTACCGAGAGTATTCGATATGCCAGACACAGTAACAACAAAGTCTCCAATGGAGACGTTACTGGGCCTGCTCGAGCAAATCGACGATGTTTTTTTTAATTTATTTTTTTTATTTTTTCCCTTTATTTATCTATTTTTTTTTTACAGTTGTAGATTTACAATTTTTTGTGCTTGGGTTTCGATTATACAATGATCAGATACCCATCCCTCCACCAGTGCCCATTTTCCACCACCATGGATAATATCCCCCCACCCCCATCCCCCCATCCCCCCCTGTCTCTGTGGCAGGGCAATCCCCTGTGTTCTCTCTCTCCTTTTGGGTGTTGTGGTCTGCAAAAGAGGCATTGAGTGGCAAACATGTTCAGTCCATAGTCTACTTTCGACATGCATCTGCCCTCCTGGGAGGATCCTCCAAACATCCTTTATTTGGTGCTCCCTTCTCTATCTGAACTGCCCTTTCCTCTAGGATACCCGGCTGGCCTCTAAGTTATGGAGTAATCGTCCTGGTGCTGATCTCAGCTATTCTTGGGTATTAATCTCATACTTTGTTACTTTATATCCCCCAGATGAATGCAATCTTTCTATGTCTATCCCTCTCTTTCTGACTCATTTCGCTTAGCATGATACAACAGTGGTATATTTTAATACACATTTCTGTGGAGAATTTATCTAGAAGAGTGATGTTAAGTAATAACCTGTGGTTTTCCAGAATGACTATCTATATTGCATTGCCACTAGCAAAGTACAAGGGTTTCACATTCCATAACTTCTCCAATAATTGGAAATCTAACTTTTGGGGGATGTCACACCAGTGGTGCTCAGGTTTTACTCCTGGCTCTGTGCTCAGGAATCACTCCTGGTAGAACTCAGGGGACCATATGGGATATCAGGGATCAAACCTGGGGTTGGCCGCATGTAAAGCAAACACCCTACCCATTTTATTATCACTCTGACTCTGGAACTGTAATTTTTAAGCAGCTTTATTGAAGTACAATTGACATTCAATATTTTCTCCAGTTCAGAATGTGCAATTTAATAATATATTTAAAAATGGGCACCATTGAAATTGTTGTATGTATTACCCACAAGTTTTCTCATGCCCTTAAGCAGTCCCTCTAGTTTATCCCTTCTTATCCCTCTAAAACTGAAGTATTCCACTTCAAAGTTCCATTACTTTTGGACTAGAGCGATGCCTTGCAGGTTGGAGCACATGCTTTAGAAGCAGGAGGCCTGGTTTAATTCCAAGTACTGCATCATCTATCTGAGCACCAGGCTGGGAGTAGCCCCTTAGCACTGCTTGGTATGGTCCCAAACAAAGACTACTACTTTAACTCAGTATCATGTTTATAGGAAAGCCTGTGTTAAGCTCCCAAATTTTCATATAAGTAGCTTGGAGTCCATCTTCAGTTTGAGTTTTGAAAAATTTATATGACCTCTAAGGTTTCTTCTAACTCATTTATGAAATACACTCTGCCCTGCTAGTTTCATTAGGATTAGAATGTATATTCCACTACTATGGTTATAGGCAGGAATAGATGAAGCATAGTAAAGTCTCATCAAATAAGTTCTTCTAAATTAGTAAGTGTCTAGAAAGAAAATAGGAATTTATGACATGTTTTCTTTGTTCTTTCTTTATTTTTTTTTGTGGAAGACTTATCTGATATGTTAGCTGTAACTAGAACTTAGGCATTTTTGTTTTATGTTATCATATGCTTAAATGGAGACACTATGATACATACTTTATTAACTTTTGTTAAATTAATTATTTCTATAGGAGAAAAAATGTCCCACAGTAAATTGAATTGGAAAAATTTATTGATATAAAGTTGATGTATTGCAACCAGCCTTATAACTTTCTGTAATCATTATATTCAGCAGTTTCTCAAGTACAAAATCAGTTCTTGGCTGTCACAATACCACAGTGAGGAATTACCTGTCTTATACTTGGTACAAAAATTTTTACCTTGTTTTTTGCTTTAAGTAGTGATTAGAGAAGAGTAATAATAATTTTCTTATAGTATTGCCATTTTGTATTAAAGATAGGACCCTCCAAAACTAGAATATGGTTAAAGTGACTGTAGGTCCAATTCATTGAAATGAATGTAGTTCTTCCTTTATCAGTTCAGAATTTTCTTTTGCTTTCTTTCAAATTACAGTTTTTTTTTCTTTTTGGTGGGAGTGCTAGCAGGGCTCATTGAACCAATCCCTGAACCTCAAGAAAGGAATTTTGATAATAAATTTTGTAATGCACAAGGCATGTGAATAATATACTATGATAAGTGACTTGTGTTACCATATTGAATAGGATATTACTAGTTATATAATTGTAGGCATTTGGGGTCTTAAAGATCAGAAGCAATGTACTATTAAAATAATTCTAAATTAATTTCATATTTTAAGGTAAAAAGCTACCACAATTTCTAAATCAGTTGTGAAAAGCCAACTTAAATTTTGTGTTTAACTATTTTTTTTACATGCTTACAAATTAATTTTCTTGTCAAAGTGTTGTTACTGAATTAGGATAAATGGTTTTAATTTGAAATATAAATCATCAAAGTTAATGTATTTTCATATGACTTCATTATGGTCATGTCACTACTAAGTGAATTTGTCATGTTCTGTAATAAAATGACCTCGGATCATCTATTTTTAGTTATATAGAATACAGTGTTAAGAATTTTAACTTCATATTTAATCATTTTTCTTTTTTGTTCTTCCTCCCCATAGTAATCAAAGCAAAGAAGCTTTCATTGACTGGGCAAGATATGATGATTCACAAGATCACTTTTGTGAACTTGATGGTAATAAAATAAACTTTTATAGCACAATTATTTGACTTATCCTTTTTAAAATATTGAAACCAGAGAAAATATAATCAGAATTACAGCTTTAATACCCCTGGCTTTTGCTGTGTGGATCTTAACATTCGTAATGGCATATAGTCTTAATGCCATGTTTCAGGCCTTTTGCTAAAGCCATAGTTACATTTCTAATCTTTAAACTATCTTAATATGTATATGTTATATATGAGAAAACTGAATCTCAAAAAGAATGACGTGACCTGTGTCACACAGTAGTAAGAGACTTAAGAGAGGGTTCAATCCTAGGTCTGACTAAATCCAAACCTCTGTTTTCCTTTGTTGCACATCATATCCTATGGAACTTCAGTTCTATGACAGGTATAGTTCTTGGAACATATTATAAAAGTTTTCACACTGGAAGTCTCAACACTCCTCCAAATTTTAGTGAGCACCCAATTAATTGTATTCCCTTCTTTCCCTCTTTTGAGAGTCCCCTGGAGAGGTACAAAGACAGGACACTGGTCATCATTAATAATCACTTTTTTTAATTTAAAAATTATTTATAATTTATGTTTTCATTTTCTCCTTACACGTAATATAAATACTGTGGTTTACAAAGTTGTTCCTCATGATTTGTTACAAGTATTCAATATTCCAACACCAATTCCACCACTATTACACCTTCCCTTCACCGTTGTCCCAGTTTTCCCAGTTACCCCTTGACCATGCCCCCATTGAAGGTCTTCAGTAATTTATTTAATATTGCTTGTTATCAATAATTTGCTAAGAGAATGATCAAAAAAATGTTTCCTTAGAAGAAAGTTAGTGAAGATTGATGTACCTCACCTTGAAGCCATTAAGTCCTTGTATAAGAGATTACTAAAATGATGTTGCAGGTTAAACCTTCTATGTTTATATTTTGTTAATTTTAGATTAGTTGGCTTCTGCATTACATCCCATTCAGTCTAGTGTACTACTACTAGATTATCAGTGTTGTAGAGTTTGAGATGTTGCTTCAGGAAGTCCAAGATTTTTATGGGTGATACGACTGGAGTTAAATTTTTAACTGGGTGGTGGCGTTGGGATGTGTGTATGACTGTTAGGGCTTCTGGAAGTACAGGGAGATAGAAGGAGGTAGCCCATTCCAACTCTGTGAAAGCTTGGAGGTTTCAGTAACAGTTACTGAATCCGCATACAGCGTTTTTCAGCAGATTAGTTTCTCTATAAGGCTTCTCCGGAGCAGCGGGGTCTACCGAGGAGCATGGAGGTGATTGTGGAGTGTGGGAGCCAGGTATCTGTTTGGGTGGACCCTGGGCTGACCCAGCCCCCTCCACCAAACCCTGGATGACTGAACCTTGCGTGAGCATCTGGGAGACTCTTCTGGAACTGGTTGATCTCTTTCAAGGTTTATTTGTGAGTCTCTGGATCATGACCAATGAATGAGCTTACATGGCACTAGAGGTTGGTTCATGAGTATGACTGCTGGGACAGAAGTTCCAGAAGTACAAGGAGATAGTGGGGAGGTAATCCATGCCAACTCTGAATGATCACTTTTCTTAATGAGAAATAATTGAAATAAACTAAAAATTCTTTATCTCTAAGATAATGTTACTGAATTATTCAGAATAGGTATGTTATTCATTTAACCTTCATTTACCTTTTACCTTATTATATTTTTGATGTTGGAAATAATTTCTGGTTCAAGAATGAATAATTAAAAAAAGCATTAATTCTTTTAAAATCTTTAGACCTTGAAAGGCATTGATATACTTCTTTTGAAAAGTTTTGAATTGATCCATACATAGATTTGTGCTATTAATAATCTAGTCTTTAATGGACTAAGTTACTACAATAGTATTAGATAATAGTAATAGATAAATTGAGAAGAATATTATTAACTGTGATTTCAGAAAGTAGTTTCTTTTGTTTTTTATTAATCAAAAAATTTAATACTTAATCAAGTTTTACTAATCTAATGATACTTAGATCATCGACAGAAGTTTTACCAAAGCAATTTATTGTACCTGTGTCAAGTACTAGATTAGTGCTTATTATTTCATATGTTCTTTTGTTGTCATACTGGTCATATTTATAGACTGCTTGACACTTATATTCTTCCAACTTTATCATTTTACATATTTGTTAACTAAGTTGAATTTTTTCAACTGGGTTTATATAACAGGCTTTAAGAGTAAAGACTTTGATGAAGCCAGAGAGTTGGTACAGGGATGAAGATGCTTGCTTTGCAGGAGGCTGATCCTCCTTCAATCCCTGACACCACATATGTTTTCCAGGCACTGTCAAGAGTGATCCCTGAGCACATAGTCAGAAATAAGCTCTGAGTCCTTAACCCTCCCTCAGCCTACTCCACTCTTCCCCACCTAGACCTCCTGCCAAAAAGAAGACCACATATCTGGGATTGTGTATGCAACTCAGTGCTAGAGTATATGTATCACATGTGAAGCCCTAGATTTGATCCCAGAAAATTAAAATACTTTATATGAAATTAAAAAATTTAAATTTTAATGAAAAGTTTAAACAAAAATTAAATACTTTATATAATTTTAATGATATATTAAATATTTATAAATCATTTAAATCATATATAAATTATATATAATTAAGTAAATCATATAAATCATCAATTGCAGGGTGATCCTTTGCTATGGTTAAATTGATTTGCTCAGTCAGTGGTTATCACTATAAATTATATTAACTACTTCTAAATATCAGCTTCTTTCACCTCATATAAATAGATGAGATGCTTTTTAATAATTTACATTAAATCATCCTTTAAGTGGTACTACATGGAAAGTATCATGTTAAGTGAAATGAGTCAGAAAGAACGGGATAGACACAGAAAGATTGCGTTCATCTGGGGAACATAAAGCAACAAAATGGGAGACTAACACCCAGGAGTGGCTGAGATTAGTACCAGAAATTTTGCTCCATGACTTGGAGGCCAGCCACACGTGCTAGGGGAAAAGGAAGCTCAGATAGAGAAGAGAGCACCAAATAAAGGGTGTTGGGAGGATCCTCCCAGGATGGGAGAAGCATACTGAAAGTAGACTATAGACCAAACATGATTGCCACTCAATGCCTCTCTGGCAAAACACAGTACCCAAAAGAAGAGAGAGAGAACAAGGGGGAATGCCCTGCCACAGAGGCAGGGTGAGACGGGGTGGGGGTGGGGATGGAGGGTGGGAGGGATGCTGGGACCCATGGTGGTGGAGGATGGGCGCTGGTGGAGGGATGGGTACTTGATCATTGTATAACTGAAACCCAAGCACAAAAATTTGTAAGTCTACAACTGTACCTCATGGTGTTTCACTAATAAAAAGAATTTAGTATTGTGTCATTAAATGATGAGTAATTTGAATATTTTATGTAATTGTTAAATATAAATGCTGCTGGTAAGGCACCATTATTCAGGTGGTAGCTTCTTGTGTGTTCTAGTGATTATACATAGGTTTTTTTAAATAGTAGAGTAGTTGTAGAGTCAGTTCAAATACTTGAGATTTAAAATCATTAATTTTTGAGTTTTGATGTTGATTAAAATTAAATGAAAAAATCTAAAGAATATATTCTGCAGTTCATTGGAATGTATCCATAATCCACAACAAAAGAATATTTTGTTGTTTGCACTGTCTTTTTGAAAGGAATGTGAATCTCTGTAATTCAAACAGGTTTTTAAATAATTTAGTAGGTTTAATTAATTGTTCTCCCTATACTTACATTTTATTGTCTTTATGCATGACTGTCTTCTTCCTTCACTTCAGGTTTCTGCTCAAATATCATCTCATGCTGAGAATCTCAAAATATAAAATAACAACTGTCACACTCTATCTTGTATGTACTGCTGCCCTCATGTTTCCAGAGCACTAAAAACTCTCAGAATGTTTACCATGTTACTCGATGTACCTATCTGTTGTCCATCTTCTCCAAATAGATTATGAGAAACATTTGAGGGCAAGGGTCTTGTCCTTCCCTTCGTGCTGTATCTTTAGTTCATGGGACAATGCCTGGTATAAACTCAATAAATATTTGCTGAATATAGTTAGTCCATTAATGATCTAAATTTTGTGATTACTTTCACTTCTCCATGAAGACATGATCACTAATAAATTAGAAATACTTTAAAGCAGCAGTTTGTAGATCTGACTGTATCTCAAAACTAGTTGGAAGTGTTATAAACTATAGATACTTGATCCAACTTATTCAAATAAATTATATTCTGTTTGTGATTTAACATTTTGGTGGATATGGTGGTGGAATACTATAGACTCAATATAATGTCATTGGCTTAATATTTTCATACTTTTCTCCAGAAGTTAAAAAGATCTACACTCTTAGTTTGTACTACCATTATGTTTTAAGAGGCATTTGGGTTAGGGTGTGGGAAGGAATATCTTGCTTCTTGAAAATGTTTTGTGTCCTCATAACACCAATATTAGGGTATCACTGTATCACTGTCGTCCCATTGTTCATCGATTTACTCAAGTGGGCACCAATAATGTCTCCTTTTGTCCCAGCCCTGAGATTTTAGCAACCTCTCCTTTTATTCCAGTAATTCTCATGAGGTCTACCTTCCTCCTCTCTCCCTCAAAAAAAAAATTATCTTCTTTCTTCCTCTGCAAAGCTGCTCCAAAGCTTTTCTGTTTGACCATAATAATCATTATCTATGGATTCACAACATTAACAAATGAATAGAAATACGCAACTCTGAGGATTCATCAACATAAACTTATGTTTTTTCCTCAAGTACACATTTTTCCTCCAAGTGAATTTTCTTTTCATTACCTGAATATTTGATGGGGTTCAGACAGTAGGCAACAAATCATAGAGGGAAAATATATATATATATATATATATATATATATATATATATATATGCTCCTGGGAGAGGCCAGCAAGCTACTGAGAGTATCCCGCCCCTATGGCAGAGCTTTTCCCCAACGATTGAAGGCTTTTATGTATTATGATCATATTTGTGAAATAGTCATGAAACTTTTCTTATAGATAGCCTATATTTCCTCCAGAATTAGGGTCTCAACAATTAAAGCCATTTTTTCTCTGTCTTTTATATCCTTCGAAGAGCTCTATTGAAATAGCCAAATAAAGGGGTGGAGTGATAGGACAGTGGAAGGGCACTTGCCTTGGCATGCGGCCTACCTGTGTTTGATGCCTGGCACCTCATATGGTCCTCTGAACCCTACCAGGAGTGATCCCTGAGGCAGAGCAAGGAGTAAGTCCTGAACACTGCCCGGTGTGGCCCTCCAACAAGCAAAAATGTCCAAATAGTAGAGATCTACTAAAATCACTTATTTGTTTTAACATAAAAAAATACTTATTTGAATTGCTTTTATAAGTTGTTGATGTTTTGTTTGTTTTGCTAACTATATTGGTTTAGAAGAAGAAAAATTAATATGTTAATATTGGTAAAAGTAAAATTAGCATTTTTTTTTTATTCTTGCACCACAACTGACTGTACTCAGGGTTTTCTCCAGGCTCTATGCTCAGGGATCATTCCTGAATGTGCTCAGAGGATGATATGTGGTGCCAGGGATCAAATATGAATCGACTCTGATTCTGTATTGTCTTTCAACCCCATTTTTTTTATTTATTTATTTATTTTTTTTTTTTATTGAATCACTGTGGGAAAAGTTACAGAGCTTTCGGGTTTAGGTCTCAGTCATGTAGATACCGAACACATTTCCCTTTACCAATACTCATTTTTAACCCCGAACCCCAATAGACCCCCACCTCCCACCCCTCCCAATTCTTATGAGGCAGATGAGTTCTAGTTAATACTCTATCTACTTTGACTAGATAGATTATTTCGATAGAAGATGCACAATTATTGTTTAGAGTTTACGACCCACCCCCCCCCCCCAATCAGACATGCTGAAACAGCGTTGTGAAATGATTTGCTTTCTACAACTTCAACCCCATTTTTTTTAAGCTACAACATTGTGTAGCTCCATGGATGTTAAATTTGTACCGAAAATTATTTAGCCATTTACTTCATGCGTTCAAGTAGAAATAGTGGGAAAATCTTTATTTAGAATTTTTATATTCACTGTAGCACTGTCCTCCCATTGATCATCGATTTGCTCGAGTGGGCACCAGTAACTTCTCAAAACAAATTGTGAGACTTGTTGTTACTGTTTTTGGCATAGCAAATACGTTAGAAGTAGCTTGCCAGGCTTTGCCGTGTGGGTGAGATACTCTTGGTAGCTTGCCACGCTCTCCGAGAGGGGTGCAGGAATCAAACCCGGGTTGGCCGCATGCGAGGCAAACACCCTACCCACTGTGCTATTGCTCCAGCCCTTTTATATTCAATGTCTATGTAATATATTCTCATAAAAATAATATTTTCAAGTCTGTGTTTAGGTGTTTATATAAACAAAATTTGCATAAAATATTAATGTAAAATGGTTATGATGGTGACTGTACTCAGGCTATGATGCTGCTAGGTCTTTTTAATTTAGAGTAGTTCAAAACTTATAAAATTATTGGTGCTCCAATACGATGATAGATGTCATGTTACCTAAGAAAGCATGAAACTATCCATAGAAAAGCAAGGAGTTGTTCTTGTTCCAAAGTCCAATTTGTTATAAATTCGTGTCAGGAACAGTCAGATATGTGCTAACCACCACCATTTGAGTTAGAGATTTCTTGAAAAGTGGTCACATGTTTTGTAATGCTCACTGTTAGATAAACAGTGAATTGTGGTTTTTATGAGTTATTTCTCATTCAGATGAGCGATCTCCAACTGCTCAGTATGTGGACCTGTTGCTGAACCCAGAGCGTTACACTGGCTACAAAGGGTCTTCTGCATGGAGAGTGTGGAACAGCATCTATGAAGAAAACTGTTTCAAGTAATTATTTGGGGTTGGGAAAGGGAGACCGGTGACTAGAAGGAAGATGTGAGGAGGGGTATGCATGCGTATTCGTTTCTGTTGTATAAAATTAGATTTTAAAAACCAAGCTTGGGGCTGGGGTGTAGTTCAGATAGGAGAATCCATGCCTAGTGTGTGCAAGTGTCTGGTTCAGTTTCTGGCTCCACATGTTCTGAGCATTTCCAGGTGTGGCCCTGGTGGTCCTGAGCACTGTAGGATCCAGCATCATTCCATCAGGCCTGCTTTGCCAGATAAGCATCTCTGGGAATAGCACTGACCTCACCATCCTCATCACCGTTGAGTGTGGCCCCTATAAAAATATAAACAGAGGGTCTGAGCATAGTTCAGCCAGTAGGGCACTTGCCTTGTATGTGTCAGACCTAAGTTTGATCCCTGGCACCCCATTAAGGTCTTCCAGCCTGTCGGGAGTGATCTCTGAGTGCAGAGCCGGGAGTAAGCCCAGAGCACACAGCCAGATGTGCCCCCTTTAAAAGCAAACATAGATGGTCAAACCAGTTTACATTTGAGTTTTATTTTTTTCCTTTTCAGGCCTCGATCTGTTTATCGTCCTTTAAATCCTTTGGCACCCAGCCGAGGTATGTTTTCATAATTTTCATACTTAATGGGACTAACCATAAAATGGCTATGTTAGTAAAATTGAGGAAAATTTAGCTTCATATTAATATAAACTTTAATAATTTTCATATTTTGCTTAATTTGAATGATCAAAAATTTTAACATTCATTCAGTTAAATTTCAATATTTCTATGTATTTTATGTAACTGCTCTTATTCATTGAGTGCCTAATATGTGCTATGCCTGCCTTAAGATAAATTATAATATGTGAGTAATCTGCATATACCAGAGATTTCTTGGTATGTTCATATCTTATCCCAAATAAGTCAGAATCTTTGGGATTAGGACCCAGATGTTGGCATATTTTATTTTATTTATTTTTTTTAATTTTTTTTTATTTATTGAATCACCTTGGGAAAGGTTACAAAGCTTTCAGGTTTAGGTCTCAGTCATGCAAATATCAAACACATTTCCCTTTACCAATACTTTTTTTTTACCATGAAGAACCCCAATAAAACCCCACCCCCCACCCCTCCCAGTCTCTCTGGGGGCAGATGAATTCTAGTTAACACTCTATCTGCTTTGATTAGATTCATTGTTTCAATAAAAGATTCACCACTATAATTTAGAGTTTACCCCCCCCCCCAATCAGACATGCTGAAAAAGCATTGTGACGTGATTTGCTTTCTACAGCTGGGTTCAAGAATTAAATGTTGGTTTTGGATTTCTGCTATTTTACTTATTGACCCTGGAAGTATTTCTACTGAAAGTCAGATAGTTAAGAAATTGGTTTCTGTGCTCTGGAGTCGTGGCCGTGCTGGAGAGCCGCTAGTGGGGGGCAACTGGTGGCCTCGGTAGGGCGTGAAGGGCGGACCGAAACGCCCCCTTCCCATGAGGTTTTAGTCGCCCCCCCACTCCCCCGGCTCATACCTGCTGTCCACAAGGCTCCCATGCGGCCGCCATCTTTCTTTCCAGAGAGGAGAAGGCGACTGGGGCAACACCCTTTCCCCTCCGGACAGACATGATGGCCTGGATTAACGCATAGTCCTTTCACTTTTCTGCTCCAAGCTGGATGTTGGCATATTTTAAACTTGTCAAACCATTCCAATTTGCAGCCAACTTTGAAAACTAGTGCTTGGATGGAGTGTTTTTCAGGAACTTCAGTGTGTATACCTCGGGTTGTGAATCTATCAGCTTGTGATTCTGTAGATCATGTGTTCACTTCAGTTCAAGACACAGCTTCAGATGATACCCATGGTGCTGACACATGTCATATGCTTAAGGAGTAAAGATATAGAGAAGTTTCAGAAAATTAGATTATCTGCAACACTGCTTTCACCTGTAGTGTCCAAGAGGAAGCCATTTGGCACGTGGAGTAATTAAGCACATGTTATGTGGCTAATACAAAACTAAATCTTACATTTTATTTCATTTTAGTTTATTTTTAAAAGTCCTAAAGTAGTAATATTTTATCTTTAAGTAGGTTTTCATTTTTTGATAGGATTACTTTTCATCACATAGTATTTTTCTTACAATGCATGTGTGCCTTTTACTTTCTCTCCTGCCTCCCTTCCCTTTCATGTTGTTTTGTGATGAGTGGGGACACGTACTTGGTTGCAGTGCTCAGTAGAATTATGGTGTTTGCGTACTTAGTTTTGGTGCTTGCCAATAGAGGTCACACTGTGGTGCTGGGCGTGATCCCAAGCAGTAATGCCACTGGATCACAGTCAACATGTGGCAGAGCCGGATAGCCAGTGTGCAGACCCACCCCAGCAAGGCAGATGCTCTACAAAAATCTACCCTACCTCCCCTTTTACTGTTTAAAATGTGACCAGTAGAAAAAAAGTTACATAGTTTCTGTGTTCTGACATTATTTCTATGGGAAGACTTTGCTCTATAAATAGTTGGAAGTTATTCAGCACAAAATTAGCCAAACTTGATGATTGACTTGCCTTCTAATTTTGGGGGGGTTATTTTTTAGTGGAAAATTGATTTAAGAAACACCCCAGAGAAGATTTGTGTCCTTGGACATTTCTGAATACCAGAGGTTGAATGCACTTGCTCATTCTGTCACAATGTGGCCAGTGTTTTTAGTAAATTTGTTCTGAAACTGCCAGGAGAAAGGGGTTATATCATGACAAAAGGGCATGACTTCTTACTACTTGTCTTTTTTAAATTTATTATTTTCATCTCATTGCTTTTTTGTTTTCAACCATTTTGCGGGGGTGGGGGTGAGGTGGTGCTCCCAAGCCATTCTGAGAAGGCCTTAGAGGCCCCCACCAGCAATTCTTAACCAAGAGAGCCAGTGGGTCAATGAAGGGTCCAAGAGGAGCAGCAAGATAGTACAGCAGGTAGGGCATTTGCCTTGCACACCGCTGCCCCAGGTTTTATCCCTGACACCCTATGTGATCCCATGAGATCTTCAAGACGATCCCAGAGTGCAGATCCAGGAGTAAACCCTGAGCACTGCCAATTGTCTCCCCTTGACCTTCACTCCCCTCCAAACCCCCGTAAATAATGTAGAGGTCTAAAATGCAATGTTGCCCAGTGATGTTCGGGATTGTCCAGACCCCCCTTGTGGTGCTGGGGGCCTCAAGGACTCTACCTGATGATGCTTGTGGTACATTGTGATGTTGGGAATCAGATTATGGTGCATGCCTTTCATGGCTCTAACCATGGCACTATTTCCTGGGCCCCTAACTATTTTATTACTCAAAATTTTATAGAAATTGGAGTAATATAAAAATCATAAAAAGTACAAAAGGCAAGATTCTGCTACTCCATTCTGCCTCCATTTTTTCCTTCCATTGCACATAGTTTAAAAGGTATTCTTCAGTACTCTTTGTAAATACTTTTTTTTTATGTAGGAGTATTGCTATTTATTCAGCCACTGATTAGCTGATTGAATTGGGCATGAACTCCAGTTTACTTTTTTTTTAAATTTTTTAAATTTTATTTATTGAATCACCGTGAGAGCAGTTACAAAGCAGCGACTTGGGGTCTTGTTGGGACGGGGAGGAAAGGGCCGGCTACACCCCCATCCCATGAGGCCCCACGTGTCTCGTCACTGTGGGCCCAAACCTGACTGTCCAATGGCTTCTGGAAGATGGTAGGTCACCAGGGGGAACAGGCCAAGGCACGAGACCTATTCCCACCTGGGGTGGCCCAGCGCCTGTAACCTACTGCAAGGACTGGATGCATTTCTGCCAAAAGCCGTTGGGTTTCGAGATTTGTTTCTGAGTCTCTGGGATCATGGCCGTTAAGGAGTTTGATTAGGAACCAGAGAGGCCATGCCTCCAGTTATATAGTTAGTTGAGCTCGAGGTGGTTTGTGGATGTGTCTCTCACATACCTAACTTTTGGCCGTTTACTTTCTTGGTAAACTTTGCCCCAAGTTTTTGGGGTCTGACCAAAGGCAAAGCAGCAGTTTTGGGGTATCTGGAAGTCTGAAGGCACCATCAGGTTGCTGATGCACTCGCCTCACAGGTACAGATTGACCTGCTCACGGCACCATTCCCCCATGTAAGCACTTTTAAAGTGGAAAATACAATTGTTCGTTTAATAGAATCATCAAGTCTAAGAAATCTTCTGTTCCATATTGCAATGGAGAGATGAATCTGCTGGAAATATGAGAGGAAGGATAGTACTATATAGAAAGGGGATAAAGGAGAAAAGAGGAGAAAGGTGAAAGAAATAGGAAAGAGGAGGCTGAGTGGTAGTACAGCAGGGGAGGCACTTGGTTTGCACTTGGCTGACCTGGGTTCAATCCCTCGATCCCAGCACCACATGTGGTCACCTGAGTCTGCCAGGACTGATTCTTGAGTGTAGAGCTCTGAGCACCTCTGATTCTTGAGTACTAAGCTCTGAGCACAGCTAGGTGTGGGGCCCAAGAACAAAATATGTGTGTTTATTCTCGTGTGTGTGTGTGTGTGTGTGTGTGTGTGTGTGTGTACACACATATATGAGAATTAAAAGATAAAGAAAGGGAGAATAGGTTCTAGCTGATAGGTCTATACTAGGTACTCTGTGAAGTAATTAAATCTCATTTGTTGATGCAGTTTGTTTGCTATATCCTTTGCAACTGCTAATGGTTGATTAATATTCTCTTAATATTAGGCTCCATATTTTTATGTGCTTCCACCACACTATTCCTGAACTCCTCCAGCTAGCTTTCCAATAACTTGTGAGCAACAGAACTTTTTATTTATAAAAAAAATACTATGTAAGGTTTCTGCATATAAAACTGATAAAGACAGAGATGGTAAAGATCAAATTTCTGGCTTTTTCCCATGTATAAGAAGCCTTGTAGATCCTGCAGTAAGAATTTCACTGATTAACTTTGGGAAGAACAGTCATTTCTTATTTACAGGGAGGAGTTTTGAGAATCAAACCCAGTGTCTCATAATGCTCTATCACTGAAATATGCTTTTGATCAGGAACCATAATTTTAGAGAACAATATCCCATCATGGAAAAATAACATTCAGAGACGGTTGTGTGCATTATAACTAAAGGAACTGACTTTGTGTATTTAATTATTGGCCCCTAGTGGTCGATATTATTATTTTTAGTTGTTTTCTGAAGACAATTTGGAAATATCTTTGGAAATATCCTTAAGAAGTATTATTCACAGTGTAATTGAATACTAAAGTTCATGGACTAGTTAATACTTTAAACCATGGTAAATTTCAACCTCATAAAAATTAATAGGTTTGGAATATGAATTTTGCAAGATATTTTCTAAAATTTCTGTCTGTTGTTTTCTCTTTCAGGAGAAGATGATGGTAAGTGAATGATCTTGTGTTTGTTTCTAGTGTGGAGAAATCACTCCTGGCGGTGCTCGGGGAGCCATATGGGATGCTGGGAATCGAACCCGGGTCAACCGCGTGTAAGGCAAACGCCCTACCCGCTCTCTAACGCTCCAGCCCCAAGAAATTGTTTTTAACAATCAAAATTAAGGTGTTCTCTCAGGATTCAGAAGGTGGCTGAAGGTACTGACCTGACAACCTTAAGGCCACAAGTTCCAGCCAGGACTCTCTGAATGCTCTGAGGCATTGCTGACAGCTCTGCTGTTTGGGGCTCTGGATGAGTACCCAGAACATAGTTCTGTAGCTTAAAGAGCAGCTAGGCAAGCTCTAGGCCATGGCTTTAATCCTCATTCTGCTGCTTGTGCTGGGACATTCCTGACAGCACCATGGCCTGGAAACCCAGTGAGAACTTTTTCTCTCCTTAATCAAAAAGGAAGTTTTTCTTCCCTCTCACTTAAAAATATCTACCAATAAATGGTGACCCCCAAATTATAAATATCTATTTTAATAATATAAAAGTATCCTGTTCTTGAAATATATATAAATACTGCTTTACCTAAGTGTTGAGTTTAGAAAGCAAAATCGCCCTTCAAGTTTTCCTTTTTCTATAATTTGTTTGCCTTTTGCTTTGTAAAATAGAAAGAATTCAGAATAATTCGCCAGATGGTTTGTCTTCTACTTTTATTTCTATTTTGAAATCTATAGTTCATTTTTTATTATGATACCTATTCTAATGAACACCAATTTGTCAACAGTTGGTTACTACCAATCACTGAGTGAACATGGGTCAAAAGGTCCACACAACTAAAACAGTTATTTCAAGTGGATGTATTCAAAGATGTTTGATGGACGTTGTGTAGGGGCTGGAGCCCCTATTATGGAGCACAGCGGGTAGGGCGTTTACCTTGCACGCAGCCAACATGGCCGACCTGAGTTCGATTCCTCCGCCCCTCTTGAAGAGCCCGGCAAGATACCGAGAGTATCTTGCCCGCACAGCAAAGCCTGGCAAGCTACCCGTGACGTATTCAATATGCCAAACACAGTAGCAACAAGTCTCACAAAGGAGATATTACTGGGCCCGCTCGAGCAAATCTATGAGCATCAGGAGGACCGTGACCATGTGGAATAGAAATAATTATGAAACAATGCGTTCTTTTTAGGAATTATAGCGGTGTTGAGCATTATGTATAAAGATGAAGTACTAAAAAAAAAGATGAAGTACTACATACAGAGTATAAATATACATAGTGTTATACAGGTCTTAAAGACAAGATTAATTATATATCACTGGAATGATCTGGAAAAACTTAGTGGAAGAGGTGACATTTGAAATGAATTTTTAATGACAGGAAAGATTTAGGCTTATAAGTTGGATGGTATGTGCGATTTGGAAGAAAAGGCACGGGCCAAGAAATTGAGAAAGGAAAAATCAAGCATGACTCTGTAAGAGAGACTCTGTAAGCAGAAAGAAAAATAATTGTTTTCCTTCTGGGCCATAGCTGGAGGTGCTGAGGCTGCTTACTCCTGTCTCTCTGCACTCAGTGCTCGTGCACTCCTGGTGATATTCAGAGTATCCTATAGGGTGCCAGGAATTGAACCCAGGTTGGCCATGTACTAGGCAAGTGCCCTGCCTGCCTGCCTATTGCTCTGGCACCACAGTGTGAAGACTTTTAAGAGGGAAAATAATGCCCCTACCATCCATATTTGTCCTTTAAACTCCTTGCTTAACTCTCTTCTGCTTTGATTTTCTCAAGCAAAATAAAAATAGGGTAGGTAAAATAAAAAATAGTTGTTTTGATCTTAATTAAATACCATTTTATTTTACTCAGAAGAACAGTAGGGATCTAGACATAGTTCTTTTAGCATTAGGACACAGATAATAAGCCAGGCTTCTTCTCTCTGCTTAGACATTTTGGGGGGAAGCATTATCTTAAAAATTAAAGAAGGTTTAAGCTATCCCTTGAAATTTAGCTTTAAATAATTGAGTAGATATACCTACTTTTCCTGGTTCAGAAAAAATGAAAATAATTTTATTTTTGAATAATTAGTTTTTTCTAAAGTTTAAACAGTGCTATAGTTATGTGCTAAATATGCTATAGTTATATTTACAGAAACAGATATAAGATTTTTGAACTTCTCTCTCCCAAACTTATGGTTGTTTTAGCCTCTAGTAAGATTTATATAACATCTTGATTAAAGATTTTTCTGAAATAATTTCATTATTCAAAATATCACATTTATAAGACCGTTCTCCTAAAGTTATTTGGGGGCTTAATTTTCTAGTATTATATATGCATATATTTCACATAAAATGTTCATTAATAGAAATGTTTCTTCATCTGTCATAGAAATATTTTATAGACTTTATTTGCTCTAATTTATAGATGACCACTTAAAATATCCTAACCAAATGCTGTGTATATGGCTTTTCTTTTAGGAGAATCATTCTACACATGGCTAGAAGGTAAATTTAAATATGTTTTAAATTTATTGTATGTTTATAAAAATGTATTTATTTAACATGTCTTTCTGAGTTCCAGGATTCATTACCAAGATAATTAATTTTGGCAGTTTGAAAGAAAATAACATTTTTTAGATAATTGTATATTGAGATACAATTATTTGAATATTATTTTGAAAAGGAAAAATATAATAAAATTTTAGTATAATAAATTGAGAAAGAATACATTTAAATTTAGTTCTGTTTTTAATTCAGGTGCATATAAACATGCATATAAACATGATTACTATATTCTAAACTTTCCTAGAAGAATCAGTAGCACTGTAGCACTGTCCTCCCATTGTTCATCGATTTGCTCGAGCAGGCCCAGTAACGTCTCTATTGTGAGACTTGTTGTTACTGTGTTTGGTATATCGAATATGTCGCAGGTAGCTTGCCAGGCTTTGCTGTACAGGAGAGATACTCTCGGTAGTTTGCCAGGCTCTCCAAGAGGGGCGGAGGAATCGAACCTGGGCCGACCGCATTGGCCGTGTGCAAGGCAAACTCCTTACCTGCTGTGCTGTCGCTCCAGCCCTCCTAAAAATATCAATATCAATTCAATATGTTTGATATTTTTCACTGATATATTCTAATGCTGAAAATTTCAAATGCTAAATGCAGAAATGTAGGACCTTAACAACTTTGGTTAATAACTGGATAAATGATACACTTTTAAAATTTTACTGAATTGCCATTAATTCAAAAGTTAAGATATACTAACAAAAGATAAGCAAATTAGGTGAAAGAAAATTGATATTTTGTAACTACAACTTCTTGTAGTTCTACAAAGTTACACTATATAATTCATTTCTCTTTAGGTCTATTGGTTATCATCCAAACATTTCTCTTTGTTTTCAATTAACTATATGCTTTTATATCTAATATATACACATGCAATATATATAGTTCATATTTTGACAACATAAGTTTCAAGAGTACATGATAAAATATAATCAGCTATAAGCTCCTTACTGTATATTGAATTCCCATAACTTTCTTGTTTTTATAATGTAAATTTGTTTCTTTTGGTTCCTTTCATATATTTTACAGGCATTGCTCTCCCCATTTCTGGCAGTTACATACCTGTTACCTGTACCTATGAGCTCCATTTTTGGTTTATTTAAAGAGTTTGAATATAAGTAAGATCTACTGGTGTTTAGTTTTGTCTGTCAGACTTAATTTCACTTAGTATGAGAGCCCTCAGGGTTTATCCATGTTGTCGTAAACGGCAGGATCTCCTTTTTTTTCCCCCATGGCCAAATAATATTCCTCTGTTACATTTTCTTTATACATTTATACATCAGTTTATGCACAGGTTATTTCAGTATCTTGGCTGTTATAAATGAATGCCGCAGTTGACATGGGAGTATATGCATCTTTTCAGGTTTAGTGTTTTCAGTTCCCTCACATAAATTCTATGTGGTTTATATCCAGCCTGATACTGGAATTTACATTGTGACAACTGTAAAAATAGCACTAGAGAAGGGATCCTTGTTAAGAAACCTGATTACGTATTTATTTTTCAAGTGGGTAGATTATTATTGTTCATGGATACATTTTCCCCTTTATAGAAGAAAATCTTGAACCAGTTGTGAAATTGCTGTCATATTCTGTTTCTCTTTTTAATTTTTGAGGGACTGTCACACTGTTTTTCTGTAATGGGTACACTAACTCACAGCCCGCACAGTGTTCATGAGGGTTCCTTTTCTGCATACTTACAACACTAGTTATTTTGTCTGTTGATCATTGCCATTCCAGCAGTACTTGGAAATACCTCACTGGGGTTTTGATTTATGTTTCTCTGTTGATTGATGTTGAGCACTGCACTGTAGCACTGTCCTCCCGTTGTTCATCGATTTGCTTCAGCGGGCCCAGTAACGTATAAATTATGATTCAGTATATCTGTCATCTAAATGAATGTGATTTCTTTTTGAATAGGTTTATGTCTGGAGAAAAGAGTCTTCTATAAACTTATATCAGGACTTCATGCTAGTATCAATTTACATCTCTGTGCAAATTATCTTTTGGAAGGTAATAAGATTTTTAAAAGAGATTTTTGTCTTGCAATCATTATAAAAATCAGGGAATTAGAGGAAAATCTATATATTAAAATATGTAATGTATTTTTCTTTAGAAACCTGGGGGAAACCTCGGTGGGGACCTAATATCAAAGAATTTAAACGCCGCTTTGATCCTGTGGAAACCAAGGGAGAAGGTCCAAGAAGACTGAAGAATCTCTACTTTTTATATTTAATTGAACTTCGAGCTTTATCAAAGGTGGCTCCATATTTTGAGCGTTCGATTGTCGATCTTTATACTGGAAATATAGAAGATGATGCTGACACAAAAACCCTTCTACTAAATATCTTTCAAGATACAAAGTAAGAACTAGATTATCAGTGATATATTCAGTATTTGAATGTTCTACTTTTTATTTGAACAAGTGCTAAATGCAACAGTGCTTGAGATACAACTAAAACTGACTTAAAGAATTTGGAGTCCATGGGGGCTGAAGCGATAGCACAGCGGGTAGGGCGTTTGCTTTGCACACAGCCCGACCCGGGTTCAATTCCCAGCATCCCATATGGTCCCCTAAGCATGGCCAGGAGTAATTCCTGAGTGCATGAACCAGGAGTAACCCCTGTGCATCGCTGGGTGTGACCCAAAAAGCAAAAAAAAAAAAAAAGATTTTGGAGTCCAGAGATAGCTGAGTGCATGTTTTGCACTTAGGAATTCAGTTCCCCAAGCATTACTGAGAATGACCCCTGAATACTGCCAGATATGGCCCCCAAATAAAACAAAAACTAGGAGAGGGAAATCTGGAACTGAAAAAGCAAGAGCTAATATAACAGAAGTATTTAAAGTTTTCTAAAAATGTTGACTAAAAATTAAGTTTCGTTATAGAAACCTTCACCTAAGAATATAGAATATGTTTTACTATGCAGTGCTTTTCTTCTTCTTCTTCTTTTTTTTTTTTTTTTTGCTACTGACAACTTAAATAAATTTACTTTCAAGGAGTCTCAAAATAAAGAATCAGGTACAAAAATACAATTCTATGTGGTTTATATCCAGCCTGATACTGGAATTTACATTGTGACAACTGTAAAAATAGCACTAGAGAAGGGATCCTTGTTAAGAAACCTGATTATGTATTTATTTTTCAAGTGGGTAGATTATTATTGTTCATGGATACATTTTCCCCCTTTATAGAAGAAAATCTTGAACCATGTATTTTTGTTTTATTTTTTTAATTTTTTTTCAAGTCTAAATTTATTTTTTCTTTTCTTTTTTCCTTTTTTTAAATTGAATCACCATGAGATACAGTTACAACACTTTCAGAATCATATATTTTTATACGGGTAAAATTCTCAGCAATTCAAAAGGATTTTATTTTTACAAATACACTTTTCCAAATAACTATTAAAAAAAGAATATGTTTTAAGTTACAACTTTAAATTTTATGTCATGGCAAAATTTGATGCTATTTTAATAGTTCTTTTCCTACTGATTTCTGTATTCCTCTAGTGGTTATTTAAATTCAGGTGGTATTGTTAAGTGTGCTAGCATTGAGATTAATACCTTTTCTTCTAGAATATAACCTTTTAAAAAATACTCATCTAAATTAAACATATTTACTGCTTGTTAAGAGAGGCATGAAGTATAAAAGTGAATTAATAAATGTTTAAGTAAATTATACATTAAGTTCTACAGTATGTTAAAATATTTAGTTATTGTTCACATTAAAGTTTTATATTATTTTTATCATTCAATTTCTATGAAATATTAGTATTATAAATCAAAGATATTCATATCTTGCTTTAGTTTTTTAATGAACAGATTATATGAACTATTTACTACCTTTTTGCATGGCTAAACTTTACACATTGAGTAAATAGTGACTTTTCAGGTACAAGTTTTACAAAAACTCTAAAGTAGCCTTTGAGCATTTTATTTGTAACTTATTATAACGTTGTTATTTCATCAGGTCCTTTCCCATGCACTTTGATGAGAAATCCATGTTTGCAGGTGACAAAAAGGGGGCCAAATCATTAAAGGTAAAGTATTTTTGATTGGAGAAGAGTGTGGGATAAGTTCAGTGGTCATCTTTTAATCCTATTCACACTTCTCAGTTTCATTCTAATTTTCTAGTTTGACCAATTAATCACAAGCTTTCTGTTTTAACCATTTATGATATGTGAATATCAAATAGAAAATCAAATGCCAAAAACGTAAAGATCATGTATTCTTTCCTTTTGTTGAGGTGGTTCCCAAGATTTGGGGGAACCATGTGTTGAGGATTAAACTCAGGGCCTCTGATTTGCGTGCATTCCAACTCTTTGCGTCATCTCTTCAAGCGCCAATATCATTTATTTATTTATTTTTGTTCCCCACAGTATACATTTTGGCACATTGCATGAAGTTATGAAAATTTTATTGAATAGTATGCAGATATAATTTTGGTCTAATATTAGTTGTTTTATGTCATGTTGCACTCGACAAGTTTGAATATTTTTTTCTTCAATTGAAAATCCCAAGTCATCATTAATATACATTAATTTAGTTGTGGTGAGATGAGGTACAGATGTACATCAAGATCATAAGTGGCCATATGATGTTAAACTTATTACCTTACATATAATAAATTAAAAAATGAAACACTTAATTCAGACAAATGCAGTTTGATTCATAAAGTCTAATTGTAATGAAACTTTTATGCATTCCAGGAGGAATTCCGGTTACATTTCAAGAATATCTCTCGTATAATGGACTGTGTTGGATGTGACAAATGCAGGTTATGGGGGAAATTACAGGTTTGTTTGATGTTGCCTATTTTGAAACTAATGATAAAACTGTTTTCCACCAAGGAATTTTCATGAAATTGTCTGCATTATTAATGGAATTTGTTTATAAAGTCATCTATTATGTTTTATTGATGAAAAGATTAATATTAAGCTGTCTTATGTGTATTATAAGGATGTTTTTCCTATTCTACATTAGTGATTTTGATTTTTTGCATTCATTTCCATTAGTACGATCTCGGATTTATTTCTGATGCTGTTTATATATGTATTATGTTAGTAATTTACATACAGTAACAAATATTAAAAGAATTCATTATCATATTATGAGCACAGAGTTGGTTTTAGTTTTCAAAGTCCCTCTAGTCATCAAGTAAGAATGTTCTGCCAAACAGGTCCATTAGTGGGGCTAGAGCGATGGTACACCTGATAGGGCGTTTGCCTTGCACGCGGCTGACCTGGGTTAGATTCCCAGCATCCCATATGGTTCCCCGAGCAATACCTGGAGTAATTCTTGAGTGCAAAGCCAGGAGTAACCCCTGTGCATCGCCAGGTGTGACCCAAGAAGAAAAAAAAAAGGGCCCATTACTCTATGTAGTAATATAATATAGATTAATATAGTACAAAATTTAGGTTGTATAATCACTATTCAGTGTGCTAGGTTATTTCTTCATCTGTTATAAGGATGATAACAGATAATAACAAGTTAAGAGATTTTAATGGAGTACAGTAAGATTAGCTTTTTCTTTCTTGTTCTAATAATTGATAAATTATGAAGTTTTATTGAAGGGCTGAAAACATAGTATAGGGGAATGTACCCATCCTGTTGAATCTCACATAGTCCCTCTCAGCATCACTGGCTCAAAGCTCCCTTGAAGCTCCCAGTACTGCTAGTTGTGATCCTGGTTGCACCAAAGCACTTAGGAGTAGCCCTAAGCAACACTGTATACTCAGGTTCCAGCAGTGAACAGCCGGCCTGGTTGGCTGATTATTTCCAGGAATCAGAAGGAGCCACTGGGCTCCTTGACTACAGCTTTGGGCCAGGGGATAGGGGTGCAGGGGAGTTTAGATGGTATGAATTTTCCTAATTTTTATCACAATGATTGTATATTGTTGAACCTTTATAGTCGTTACTATAAAAACTTAATTGTAAGTTTATTGCTGCTTTCCTTAGACTCAGGGTTTAGGAACTGCCCTGAAGATACTGTTTTCTGAAAAAGAAATACAGAAACTTCCAGAACACAGCCCATCTAAAGGCTTCCAACTCACTCGACAGGAAATAGTTGCTCTTTTAAATGCTTTTGGAAGGTAAGAACTGTTTACTGAGTGAAGACTTTTGCTAATTTACTGGTTTCAGCAAATTACAAATACAATTTTCTCTATTAAGGTAGCTTGTTCTATTTTGTTTTATTGACAAGAGACAGAACATCTCTCCACTCATATGACTTAGAATGATCATATAAAGAGAAGTTCATTTCTCTATAGGTTATAGGAAAGATTATTTCAGAGCACTGTTATTTTTGAGTTTGTCTTCTCAATTTTGGGGGGGGAGAATATTCTCCCAATACTCTTTTTGGTTATTTACAGTATAATCAATAATCAGGCACAATCACAAGATTGAGAAATACTTGAGTAAGAAGATGATAAAAATAAAAATGATATTGAAAAATTTCAGCTGCTTTTTCTTTAGCAGGGGAATCATTTTTTCCTTTGGTTCATTCTAACCCTATCTTTTTTTCTGTATTGGGATATAGTTGCTTTTTTTTATGCTACAAATGGTTTATAAAATAATTTGAATTTGCCTAAGGAATCATGTAATAATATCTAATTAGTGGAATAGGGAGGAGAAAACAAAATAAAAGGAAATAATACTGTGTTGTTCTAGGAAAAAGGCAAGGATAAGTCTTTTAAAAAAAGATCTGGATCCGAGAGATAGTATAGGGGATAAGGCACTAGGCTTGCATGCTGCTGACTCCAGTTTGATCCCTGCACTGCAGATGGTTCTCCAACACTGCCTGGAGGGATCCCTGAACACAAAGCTAGGAATAAGCCCTGTCATCCAAATACACCCCTGCCTATGAAATTGAAAATAGGAATCCTACAAATAGATTATTTCTTCTGGTTTCTTGACATGCATTGTTATGCTTAAAAGAAGTAGTTAAATAAAAAAAATAAGTTAGTTGCCACTTCTCCATCTCATTAACAAATATGTATACCTTTAGTTCCCCGTTATTTAAATGTAATTTTGTAGACTGAGATTTTAAATACACCACAGATACCAGATGACTTTCGAAAATAGATAGTTTCTGAATAATTCAGTCTGTCCCACTTATAAGGCTTGTAGTAAGATAAAAGAGATTGAATTAAATTGTAATTTTTTACTGTGAAATTTAAGTGGCAATTTAAAACAACTTATTTTAAATCCAAATAAAACTAACTTGAGAAATAAGCAGACGTTGTCTTCCTTAAAATTTCTCTGACTCATAAATAATACTCATAGAGCTGGAGAGCTACTCAAAGGTCTGGAGTTCATGTAGGAGCCTTGGATTTGATCCCTGGCAGCAAATTGGGAGTACCTCCTGAGGCCACCAGCTTATGGCCCAAAGTAAAATAATAAAATCAAGCATCCTCATAAATCCAAACCTTCGAGCTTTAGTTCTAGGTTTACATACTAGCAATGGCAGTACTGTTCCCTCGAGAGTACTGGATTCCTCACAGGGATCCTAGAATTCTAAAGTTCTGGGCCCTACCACTTACTGGTAGGGTAACCTGATATAAATAAGTTCCCTTTGTCAGCTCGGTGCCGTTCTTTGTAAAATGATGATAGGGCGTTCGCCTTACAAGCGGCCAACATGGCCGACCCGAGTTCGATTCCTCCGCCCCTCTCGGAGAGCCCGGCAAGCTACCGAGAGTATTCGATATGCCAGACACAGTAACAACAAAGTCTCCAATGGAGACGTTACTGGGCCCGCTCGAGCAAATCGACGATCAACGGGAGGGCCACTAGAAGGATAAAATGAGATTCTGTGACTCTTATTTTTAAAAAAATGTATTTCCTGAACTCTGTGGGGAGGGCAGTTAGCAGTGATTTCATTGTGTGTTTAGTTCTCTGAATGTTTAGAACTGAAAAACTTTCTGGGCTACTGATGTTGCTTAACTGTAGGAGCCCGTGAATATCTGGGTTCAATCTCTGGCACCACCAAAAGTAAAATTTCATTCTTCACAAACTGAAAGGTTCTTCTTCATCTGACTAAACTAGATGTGGAAAATTTTCCTTCTTAAGAAAAGGTACAAGGGCCAGAGAAATAATGCAGCAGGGAGGATGCTTCCCTCACACAGGGCCGAACTGGGTTTGATCCACATGGTCCCCCAAGACCCACCAGGAATGATCCCTAAGTTCTGAGCACACTGGGTATGGCCCAACTGATGCCGTTCTCCTCCTTCCAACCTCCTCTCCCGCACGCCCGCACAAAAAGCAAAAGAATAATGACAGTGACACTCAGGATGGGGTAATCCCACAAATAAGGCACAGTCTAATTTCCTTTCTGCCTCAGAAAAGCAACTTTCTGAAATAATTTACAGAAAAAAAGTTAGGCACTGTGATTTAGTCTGGCAGGGTTTCAAGCATGAAGCATTCCAACAGCACACCATCCGCCAGAATGTCAGCTTCTTTCTACCATGTCCCAGTGTCCCCCCACCCTCTGCCCCCCCAAGACCCCCAGTAGTGATGTGCTTCTTACTAAAGACCAGGTCTGTGTTTCTTTTGCCTTTAAATATTTATGATGTCTCTTATATGCGGTATATAAAGAAACAAATAATAAGGAAACAATAATAACAACTGAAATGATTTTTGTTTTTATTTATTTATTTTGCATTTTGGGTCACACCTGGCGATGCTCAGGGGTTACTCCTGGTTCTGCACTCAGGAATTATTCCTGGTGGTGCTCAAGAGACCATATGGGATGCTGGGAATCAAACCCAAGGTGGCCGCATGCAAGGCAAATGCCCTACCTGCTATGCTATCGCTCCAGCCCCTGAAATGATTTTTTTTTTATTTATTTATTGAATCACTGTGGGAAAGGTTACAAAGCTTTCAGGTTTAGGTCTCAGTCATGCAAATATCAAACACATTTCCCTTTACCAATACTTATTTTTTACCATGAAGAACCCCAATAAAACCCCACCCCCCACCCCTCCCAGTCCCTGTGGGGCAGATGAATTCTAGTTAACACTCTATCTGCTTTGATTAGATTCATTGTTTCAATAAAAGATTCACCACTATTATTTAGAGTTTACCCCCCCCCCCCAAATCAGACATGCTGAAAAAGCATTGTGAAGTGATTTGCTTTCTACAGCTGGGTTCAAGAATTAAATGTTGGTTTTGGATTTCTGCTATTTTACTTATTAACCCTGGAAGTATTTCTACTGAAAGTCAGATAATTAAGAAATTGGTTTCTGTGCTCTGGAGTCGTGGCCGTGCCGGAGAGCCACTCGTGGGGGGCAACTGGTGGCCTCGGTAGGGCGTGAAGGGCGGACCGGAACGCCCCCCTTCCCATGAGGTTTTAGTCGCCCCCACACCCCCGGCTCATACCTGCTGTCCACAAGGCTCCCATGCGTCCGACATCTTTCTTTCCAGAGAGGAGAGGGTGAATGGGCAACACCCTTTCCCCTTCGGACAGACATGATGGCCTGGATTAACGCATAGTCCGTTCACTTTTCTGCTCCAAGCCACCGGGTTCTGCATTAAGTCCTTGTGCTTCTGGGGCCGTGGCTGTGCTGGAGACCCGCTCACAGGGGGCAACTCGTGACCTCGGTAGGGCGTGAAGGACGGACCAGAACGCCCCCTTTCCCATGAGGTTTTAGTCGCCCCCAAACCCCCGGCTCATACCTGCTGTCCACAAGGCTCCCATGTGGCCACCATCTTTCTTTCCAGAGGGAGGAGGGCGGAAGGGAGCAACACCCTTTCCCCTCCGGGCAGACATGATGGCCTGGATTAACGCATAGTCCTTTCACTTTTCTGCTCCAAGCTGCTGGGTTCTGCATTAAGTCCTTGTGCTTCTGGGGCCGTGGCTGTGCTGGAGAGCCGCTCGTGGGGGGCAACTGGTGACCTCGGTAGGGCGTGAAGGATGGACCGGAACGCCCCCCTTCCCATGAGGTTTTAGTCGTCCCCACACCCCCGGCTCATACCTGCTGTCCACAAGGCTCCCATGTGGCCGCCATCCTTCTTTCCAGAGAAGAGAGGGCGAATGGGGCAACACCCTTTCCCCTCCGGCAGACTTGATGGCCTGGATTAACGCATAGTCCGTTCACTTTTCTGCTCCAAGCTGCTGGGTTCTGCATTAAGTCCTTGTGCTTCTGGGGCTGTGGCCGATTTTTAAAGCTCTTCAGGATAATTCATCTCAGGCCAGGGAGCTAGTTTACAGGGGTACATTGCACACCTGGCACGTACATGGCCCCCAGGTCCAGTTACTGACATTGCCTGTCCCCTCCATCAGTCAGGGTAGCTCTGGGGGCCCTCAAGCATTGTAGGCCCCCAAATAAATAATAAAATTATTTTAGGATCATAATAGAGAACATAGAAGATAGGTCTTGAAAAACTTATTAGTTAAATGTATCCCTTCACTTTATTTTATAATTGTTTCTTATTGTGCTGGAGTTTTTGCTCCCTTGGTCAAAGGAGGCAGAGAGAGGTCCCTATAGTTAATTTGTACAATAACCTATGACTTCTTGGATTCTCGTGATTTTGCTGTTAAATCAGAAGTTACATGATTATCCATTCTGAACATCTGTGTTAGAGCTCCCAAATTCACTTAGCCTACTACCCTGTTTTTAGAAAAAAATAACAACAAAACCCCACTCAGTGACCCTTGGAAATACACTTCTATAAGCAAATAGTCAGAAATCCCTAACTGCACCCAAGATGATTATCATCATCCATGGATTGTCCCAGTGGGCAGTCACACCCACTTTGGGAAACACTGATCTATGCTGTTTACTAAGCTCTCTTTTTCTCTAGGTATGGGTCTGAATCTCTTTCTGTATCTTCATCTTATTTCAGTTTGTTTTTTTAAAAATTTTAACTAAGTACTTTGCGATATAACACATGACCCTACACATTTACCTAAATTATCTTATTCTCTTTTTTTCTAATGGAAAAATTTGAATTATTTAATATTTTGAGGATTAGAATAAGAATTCATTTTCTAGGGTTGAAGGGAGAGCTCAGTGTGCTGAGCACATGCTTTCCATGCAGAAGGCCTGCATGTCTTGAGTCATTACCAGGAGAACCCAGAACACCAACTCAGGAGTAACCCCTGAACACTGCCAGATGTGGTCCCAAAGGCAAAACAAACAAAACGTAATTAATTTCTACTATTTCCACAACTTTTGAGAGTTTAAAGAAAATATTTCAAAACCATAGAGAGCACAGTTTTTGTTTGGTGTTTTTGATTTGAAATTATTTATTGTATTGAATTTATCATATCCCTGTTCCGGTCACCGGTCATTAATCTAGAAGCTCGTGACTGGCTTCCTTTTCCCCATCTAAATCTAGACTAGAGAATCATAGTGTTGTGTTGGTCTTTAATAAGTAATTACATCATGTTTTGTAAAGTTAATGGAAATTTCAACATTGAGAATGCTGTATACTTTTGTTTTGAATTCTGCCTACACAATAAAGCCCATAAACCTATCAATAACTTGAAATCATACATATCACATTAGATACACTAATGTACTTTCTTTTTCTTCCATAGGCTTTCTACAAGTATAAGAGAATTACAGAATTTTAAAGTCTTATTACAACAAAGTAGGTAATAAAAGCTTTAGTAGGTCTAGGTAGAGACGTAACCTGACTATGTGAAGCCTTTTAGTCTTGGACGTTCAAAGGAGACTAATCTTCAAGGACTTCAAGAATCCAGTCAAAAAGAAAATTCAAATGTTCACTTGAATATTTATGGGTTTTAGTAGATTATAAATTAGAGCTATTTATAAATGAAGTATATACTTTTAAAACCTGTAAGTTATATTAATTCTGTTTATTTTCATGTTTCCATTTGTTGAATATTCTGCTGTTGTATCTGTTTAGAATCAGGCTGGAGCGATAGCACAGCGGGTAGGGCGTTCGCCTTACAAGCGGCCAACATGGCCGACCCGAGTTCGATTCCTCCGCCCCTCTCGGAGAGCCCGGCAAGCTACCGAGAGTATTCGATTTGCCAGACACAGTAACAACAAAGTCTCCAATGGAGACGTTACTGGGCCCGCTCGAGCAAATCGACGATCAACGGGAGGGCCTTTACCTTTTTACCTTTTTTGCTCTCATTCTTTTATCTGCTATTTTCAGTGTCAAACTTAAATGACTGTACCTCTTCATCTTCTAACACTCTTTATTGTCTGATAGTAGAAAAGGAGGGCTAAGGCACAAATGTTGCTTAAGGTGGTATCAGTGATAAAAATTTATCAGTTTATTTTTAGCCTACTGTAAGTTCTGTGTGTGTCATCTTTTGTAATATAAAACTATCGGTATGGTCATTGGCCCTTTTAATGTGTAGTTAGACAAGTTATGTTAGAATCCCCAGGACTTCAGTTTCATTGATTTTATTTCAGGTTTTGAATTGCTGCTGTTATGTTATTGTTACTTTGTTTTGACCTGTAGGACCTAGGACCTAATTTGTTAATGGTAAATAAGTACTGTCCCCTCAGAAACCCAGCCAGATTTCATGTGTGGCTGTTGTGCTATCGAGATTATTTACTTAGAACCTGTATGTCAGATTTTGATCTTATGCTTCTTTTTATTTTATATATTCTGTCCCTATTTCAGTTCTAGAAATTTCCATTTATGAAAGCAAAGATTGCATAAATACTTGTTTCTATCTTGAGAACATTTGGATAGTTCTTATATGGATTTATAATGCCAGTTAAAATCGTTATATACACAAAACTTACCATTTTGAAGTGTTCTTAAAGAATTTTATGTTAGAATACAATCTATGCAATCCTCTCGATTTGATTTTCTTCTATAATTCATGCTTCCTTAGAGAGTATGTCTTCTTTAAGTTTACTGTTTCCTAACCTTTTCATTCTAGTTCATTGTAGATAAGTATTTTATGTGACCTGTATCAAGAGATAACTCATAAGTCCTAGACTGTTCTTTTCCAAATCTGGATTTACATGTACTTGATATTTAAAGTATTCTTATAAAGATGTTCATAGATACAGTGTGATTAATTTAGAAGAATGTGTCTGTGTATAAGTGATGCGGGTACTAAATAGTTTTTTCCTTAGACTCTTCAGTCTTTTATAAATAAGTGCTCTTAAACCCCTGTGTCATCCCTGCCAAAGTTTGAAATGTACTCATTGATGATTTAGTGGTGTATTTTAAGCTTCATTTTGTTGGCTCACCCCTCTTTTTAAAAAAATTAGTCACCCTATGGAGTTTGTGACTGTAGAAGGTAATATCACTATTTTCTTACCTTATTTCTAAACTTTATAGACCCAGGGACTTCTTGTTTTTACTAATTGTTAGGTGTTTTTGTTTGGTTGAATGGAAAAGGCTGGCTAAAGTTTAGCCTTCTCCACTTTTCATTTTTAGAGAGGCTAGGATTATATATAAGGAAGGTAGACCCTTACTAGAAAACTGTCCAATAAGGGAATAATCTTCCTAGTAAGTTAATATGATTTATTTTTGGTGTTAAAAGTTTAAGAAAATGTGAACGTTTTGCACTTTGTTATTATTCTAAGTTTAAAAATCTTAGACTTGTTCTCTGTTTTAAAGATAAAGGCTTTTAGATTAGAGAAAATCCTTGGTCATTTCTGTTGATTGCTTTACTGTGATTTATTTAAAACATATATATTTACATACACACACACACATGTATACACACACACATATGTGTGTGTGTTCTGGAAAATTAAAAGGGTCTAGTGTGAGGTTCAGGATTTAAATTTTTCTACCAAGAAGTAAATGAAGTATTCTTAAGGTAAAATTTGACTTAATTTTATCATAAGTTGTGAAGGGTAGCCTACATTTTCATGTATGTGTGTATATCTTAAATGAGTGTATAAACTGTAGGAATGTTGTTTTTAAGCCTGGTGATACTTTATAATCTTTGTGATATAAACTATTTTTCCAGTTCACATACTTTTGTTGTAAAATGATTTCAGAGGGTAATGATTACATTGTGAAAATGCTTGGCTGGTAATATGTTTTGGCATTTTGTTTTTATCTCATCACCTAATTTAAAAATCCAGCACTTGATAATATAACTGACAGAAATGATTGTACCAGCTGATGAAATAATGAAAGTGAAGAAAAGGAAAATATTCTATCAAGAGCATCATTTATTTTTCCTTAAGTGGCATCTATGTAATTTAGGAATATCCTATATCAAAATTGGTAAAATGTACATGTTTCTTCTGTATTGGTTCTTAGGTTATGAGGAGGGTGAGAAATTTCAAAATTTCTGAAATGCACCAATCAAATGTTTTTTGACATCTTTAAGTTGTGAATTACTCAATACTTTGTAATGAGTGTGACAATTATGTATATGAAATACTGTGCCATATCTTCCAACTTTACCTAGGTGCCATTGTAAATAAGAACAGCTATTTTGATCTTCATCAGCACTGCCTTCAGCTGGAAATTTGGAAACAGTTCACAGTAAACCTCTCAGCAGTTTACAAACTGAAGTACCTGCAGAAACCATAGCTATTCACCAAAATACACAGACCAAGCACATCGTAATCACCAAAATACATAGACTGAGTGCAGCATCCTATGGAGATAATTTGGTAAAACAAAAGAGACATACACAAACATTTGTGTACTCTAAACATCTACAGGTGCATCTGTGATATTGAACAGAATCCAAATAATATGCTGTTGTACCCACCAGATTTGAGAATTGAATTAAAGTTAATGTTTCTGCAAGCTCTCTTTCTTCCTTGTAAATGCTTCCCCCTTTTAAATGCTTCCTTTTTAAGATTTGATTATAATTTCTGGAGAAGGGAGAAAATACTTAAGCATTATCAATGCAATTCTTGGTAGCCATCATATTAAAGGATATGGATACATTATTTTGTTTTCAGGACAGAACTCAAAGTTACAATTACCTGTTTCATAAATAATAAAACTGAGGATAACAAAGACTAAGTAACTTTTCCACAGTGCAAATTCTAAATTGTAGGGCTAGAATTTGAAATCAGATATCCTGACACCAGAGCTTTTGCTCAAAACATGTTACATTTATTTTAGAAGTTGACCTATTATTATTCAACTTGAAAATAAGGAGTTCCAGGGGCTGGAGTGATAGCACAATGGGTAGGGCATTTGCCTTGCATGTGGCCGATCCAGGTTCGATTCTCAGCATCCAATATGGTCCCCTGAGCACCACCAGGGATAGTTCCTGAGTGCATGAGCCAGAAGTGACCCCTGTGCATCGCCGGGTGTGACCCAAAAAGAAAAAAATAAATAAAAATAAGGAGTTCCATACTTTGCTTTGTATTGAGACTTAGGGCTTTTATTAAATATACCTAGTAAATAACACGTTCACACAATTAAAAACCCAGAAATATAACTATACTGTAGGATATCCAGGTTTCTTTGGGGTCACTCCACTCCCTCTCATAAATAACTCTGTTCTTGGTTTTATGTTCTCATTTATACTTTACACATATCCAGGTGACCTTATTTTTCAGTTTTACCAAGAGTGGCATCATATACTGTTTGAATATGTATATGGATGTGTGTGTATATTTATGTTTGTATAGTTTGGCAGCCATACCTGGAGTTTCTCAGAGATTACTCCTGGCTCTGTGCTGAGTGATCATTCCTGTTGGTGGTCAGGGAATCATGTGTGTGTCATGCCAAGGCAAGTGCCCTGTCCCTTAAAATTTTCTTATGTCACTAAATAACTTAAAAGAACTTAAGTTTAATAGTATTTTGTATTCTGTTGTATGATTGTAATACAATTAACCAATACCTTAATAGTGGGCTTTTGGATTATTTCCAGATCTAGTACATCTGTCATTTCACATGTACGTAAATAAGTACTTTTAGAATAAATTGCCCAAAATGAAATTTTGGGTCAAAGACCCACGTTTGTCATTTTGAGAGATAGTTAAATATTCTGCTCCATTAGAGGTGGGTACCAATTCACACAATCACCTGCAATTTAAGATAGTGCTTGCTCATCCACCACTTCAGCAACAGAGATGTTATTTAAAAGTTGCCAACCTATGCAGATTTATCAGTACTTATAGTTTATATTTTACTTAACACAAGTGAGGTTGTCCACATTTTAAAATGTTTGAGCTATTTATATTTCTTTTTGTGTGTTCACATCTTTTGCTCATTTTCCTATTGTTGATCTTTTCTTAATCTTTAATAGTACCTTATAAGGAATCTTAGTCCTTTGTAAAAAGCAATATTTTAAATTTTTCCATGTTTTCAGACTTTGCATATGATGTTATTTCTTAGAAAATGGTGTTTTTTTTTTTTTTAGTTTTTTATGCTGAGGGGATGGGGAGTTTTGGGCCACACCCAGCAATGCTCAAGTCTTGTTCTTTACTCCTGGCTTTGTGCTTAGGGATCACTCCTGGGACCAGATATGATGCCAGGGATCTAACTGGGTTCACTGCATGCAAGGCAAGTGCCCTAACCCCCATATCTCTCCAGCCCCTGCCAACCAAATTTTTAATTCAGTCTGATTAATTTTAAGTGGTTTCTGGTCTCTAAGTCATAGTTAGAATGTCTTTTCACCACTTGGTAGTGTATTTCCTTCTGTAACTTTGTTTTTTTAAAACATCAATTTTGATTCCTTTAGATAGTCTCCTGGTGTGAAGTTATGTTATGCTTCCCCCCAAATATTATTCAGTTTTCCCAATACAGGTTTTTGTTTGTTTGTTTTTTGCTTTTTGGGTCACACAGGTCATACAGGTTTTTGCTTTTTGCGATGCACAGGGTTACTCCTGGCTCATGCACTCAGGAATTACTTCTGGCGGTGCGCGGGGGACCATATGGGATGCTGGGAATCAAACCCGGGTCGGCTGCATGCAAGGCAAATGCCCTACCCGTTGTGCTATCACTCCAGCCCCCAATACAGTTTTTTGAATGGTTCATTTTTTCCCTACAAGTTTGAGTTGCTGTATTTATATCTAAAACCATAAGTATTTTTCACTTAATACAATTTTTTAAAATTGGTTTCTTTATTCTTGTACCATTATCACATTATTTTAATTACTTAAAGAGTCTAGATTTTATTTTCTGGTGTGTTGAGCCCCACCCACCTTTTCTCCCTCAATGCAACCTTAATTTTTATGAGCTTTGAAATTTCCTTTAACATAGGATCATACTAAAACTGCCTAACTCAAGTGTTTGTCCCATGGGTTGCACTTTAACCACTTACCACTATTCTGTTGAATTGAGGTGGGGAGGGATATGGGGAGGCACACCCAGCAGTGCCCAAGGGCTACTCGTGTCAGGGGACCTTATGGAGAGCTGAGAATTGAAGTGTGATTGGCCATGCAAGACAAACATCTTAACCCTTGTACTAACTCTAGCCCCTCACTATTAACATTACAGCTTGCTTACCTGATAATAGATATATTAAACACACACACACACACACACACACACACACACACACACACACAAAGCTGTGTTAAGTACTCTCTCTGCCCATGACCAGACAAATGAGGGTCAAAAGGAAAGGTGTGTGGGGCCACACAGAATTTCATCTCAGTGCTTCTGTTTTAACACAGCCCCTAAGAATGATTTGAGAATCATTTTGATATAAAATCCTTTTTTATTTCTAAATCTATTATTAATTACTTGTCCAAACTTGGGTATCTCTCAAAGACTGATCAGATATCAGGACCCTTAAATGAGTATTACACTTAAATCATTACACAGTAGATAGTAGCGTAAGTGAACCTACCTCTAAAAGTATCCTCCAAATTAACAGAATATGATTGTTTACTCACTGTTGTAGGAGTTAGTAAGACATCAATGAGCAAAACATGTCCCTGTCATTATGTAACATGCATTCTGTACCCTAACTGGGTTTGTGTTTATGGTGGGAATACATCCCGAGAATGTCCATTTGCCAAAACCATCACACTGTCAGATTGATTAATAACATCCCAAACTAATGTTTTGTTTTTGGTAAAAACAAAGTGAGTATTAACCACTTAACATTCTGACATTAATAATTTCCATGTGAATTTCTTGATGGAATATACCTCCCAGTGAGTTTTCTGCTCCCTTTGACAGGTTTTAAGTTTAGAAACCTAAGGCCCAGATTCGGAACAGGTGAACTCATCAAAGACATTTAGCAACAAATTGAACAAAGATTCTGCTTATCTGAGTAATGCCCTTTAAATACTTCAGCTAATGCCCTCAAGGAAGGCCATGACTTAGAATTTTTTTTTTAAACATTCAGAAATTTTATTGCTGATCTATTAACTTATATGCAGATATTTATTTTTTTTCCATTTTTTTTATTTTATTTTTTTTACAGTTGTAGATTTACAATTTTTTGTGCTTGGGTTTCAATTATACAATGATCAAATATAAGCTTCATGGGATGGAAAAACTGAGGTAGTTCTGTCTAGGCTAAAGTTCAGAGACATAAGGTATCAATATTCTGAATAATAGAGCACCCAAGGTACAAAAGGCACCCAGGTCTGAAGGCTAATGGATTCATGTTGGCCAGTATAATCAGTTTTTGGGAGTGGGGATAGAGCATAGGTCCTAGCCACAGCGCAAGACATAGGGGTAAGGAATTCAGCTTTGGAGGAACCCTAGAATGCAAATGGAGTCACTGAGTCAGTATATTTGAATCTGCAGATTGTAAACCCCAACAAGGGACTTGGAAGTCAACTCAGTCTCACAATGAGTGACCCCATCAGTGTGGCCAGATCCTAAGAATCAACACAGATCAGGTTGGGAGTACAGAAACATCACTGGCTGCTGTAAATGACTTCTGACCCTTGGATGCAAAGGCTTTCCAATCCCTGCTAAGATCCAAAAATAGGACCACAGATACATGACAAATACCTGTTTGTCTAGGTTAGAAAACGTACTCGAGAGATGTTGAGTACCATTCCCTTCACTTCACTTTCTCCTCTAAAATGTTTCTTCTCTTTAGTTTATCTTCAGTCTGATGGCAGTTCCCCTGGTTTAGCCTCATCCATCCTTTCCAATACTCTTCCATCGAGACTGTAGTTTAAACTGTGGGTTGCAACCCCATATGGAGTCATATAAATGAAACGTGGTAGTTGTGAAAAAAATTGAGAATAGTGAGTGGTTTCTACACACACAACAAAGAAAACTAATTCAGAAATAATCATGCAAGAATTTGAGGTGTTTGTTGCAGTACCAGGCCCTACTCTTCTTCTTGGGTGAACAGGATTGCAGGTGGAAAAAAAGTATGTAGCCCTGATCTTGACCATGAGAAGTCCTAAGAACCATCAAAACAGGGGGCTGGAGCGATAGCACAGCGGTAGGGGGTTTTGCCTTGCACGTGGCCGACCCGGGTTCAATTCCCAGCATCCCATATGGTCCCCCGAGCACCGCCAGGAGTAACCCCTGTGTATCTCCGGGTGTGACCCAAAAAGCAAAAACAACAACAACAACAAAAATCGAAACAGACCATACTTACAAATCTCTTTAAAAAAGATTTTTTTAAATAGAAATGCACTTTATAAGCGTGTCTCTGATTAGACCTATTCTCTATCTTACTAAGTAATCTAAAGTGAGAGCAAGATGTTAGAGTTTTGTCCTAGGTGGAAATCTTGAAAATTTTAAACACTTAGACTCATTTAATCATAAATCCACCAATTACAAAACTTATTCTAGGGTCCAGAGAAATAGTACAGGGGTCCAAGCTCTTGCCTTACATGTGGCCAACCCTGGTTTGATTGCTGGCACCGCACAGTCTTGTGAGCATTGCCAGGAGTCATCCATGGTGACAGAGTCATGAGAATGCCATGAGCACCACTGAGTGTGGTCCAATCCTCCCTACACCCATCTCCACAAAAGAAACTTACTCTACTAATAGCCACTCTGTAAATAAATTCAGGAATATGTTTGGATTATTTTGTAGTTTTTAATTACTGGAGAGGGAGCCTTGGATGGAGCGATAGCACAGCGGAAGGGTGTTTGCCTTGCGCGCAGCTAGCCCGGCTGAGCCGGGTTCGATTCCTCCGCCCCTCTCGGAAAGCCAGGCAAGCTACCGAGAGTATCGCCCGCCGGCAAAGCCTGGCAAGCTACCCGTAACGTATTTGATATGCCAAACACAGTAACAAGAAGTCTCAAAATGGAGACTCTGGGCCTCCAGAGTTACTGGGCCTGCTCAAGCAAAATCAATGAACAACGGGAGGACAGTGTTTGCTTGACAGTGTTTGGAGAGGGAGCCTTGGATATGATTCAGTGGTCAAGTTCATGCCTTGCCTGTGAGGCTTTGAACTTCAGTTCCTAAAACTGTCCCCAAATTGATGGAATGATGGCACCTACAAATAAAAAGCCGTCAAATTTCCCACTGAGTTGAAAATGTTTAAGGAGAAAGGAAACATCCAAAATAAGTCTCTTCAGTGGTGGAGATGTGGATGATGAAATCAGGCTTTTATGGAAGAAGATGCCAATAGAACTACATTCATGAAAAAGGCACCAGGGCACAGAAAATGAAAAGAAACATTAACTCTGGTCCTATGTGGTAAAGCTGCAAGGCATGATAAAGCTAGGCACAGTCTTGTGAAAAACCCAAGAGCTCTCAAAAAGAAGAAAGAAAGAAAGAAAGAAAGAAAGAAAGAAAGAAAGAAAGGAAGGAAAGAAAGAAAGAAGAAAAAACAACTTCCCATGTAATGGCAGATGTAATAGAGAAACGGCTGATACTAATTTTATTCTGTAAGTGCAAAAAAAAAGTTCTGGAAATGAAATAATTGGCAATTAATAGGCTTCCCCTGGTTATTCTGAATGTCTGCTACAAAAATGCTGGGGGGTAGTGACAGAGATGGTTCAGAAAGTAGGGCTCTTCCCTTGCACACGACTGACCAGGGTTTGGTCCTGATATCCTTTAGGGCCCCCCAGCCTCTCCCTAAGTGTAGAGTCATGAGTAATCCCTGAGTACCAATGGGTATGGCCCCCCAAAAGAAACAAAAACACAAAAACAAAAATACTGAAGGGAGGATTTTTATCTCCTTCCTTTGGTCTATCATCACTACAATTGTTTATTATGAAAAACACATATAAAAAATGCCAGTTGGTTTGTCAGCATTACATATACCTAGCTGGTATATATCAGCAATTGATTCAGACTACAATCTGGACTTAATATACCTAAACGGTGGCAATGCGGGGTCAGTTGGCATGAGAAGTGTTTGAGGTTTTTTTGAGTTACTTGAGGCAGTTGCCAACTTTGTTCTTCAACCAACTGTAGAACTCTTCATTGTTAGCAAAACCAAGAGCCATTGTACCAATGACAGTTCAGAACTTCCATATTAAACAATTTACAACATGCTCACACATACTTTGGTATATGTTTAGAATGCTGAAATGGTTTTCAAGCTTAATAATAAACAGTATTTTTAAAAAAAAATCATGGAAGGATTATCACCTCTGCAGGAATGATGAGTTACTAAGTCACTTTTGATTGTAATATTCTTCCAGAAGATTTCGCAAAAGATTTTATCACATACTAGTCATAGATTTTATGACAATTATATTTATTTTGCTAAAAGGTAGGGTGTGACCATTATGTGAAGCTTTTCTAAATATTTATAAACCAATATTTTGGGGGTTTTATTTTGGGGCCACACTCAAGGTGCTCAAGGCTTACTCCTGGCTCTGAGCTTAAAGATCACTCCTGACAGTGGTTGGGGGACCATATACGGTTGCTGGGAATCAAATCAAGGCCAGCCACATGCAAAGCAAGCACTTTATCCCTGTATTCCCTCAGCCAATATTTGGAAAAAAAAAAGAGAGAGAATTCAATAGTCATGTGGTGACAGTTATGTGCTGGTGAGAATTATGTGGTGCAATACAATTGCCTGTTGAGAATCCCCACCCATAGTTTCTACTCCAGACACCCAAACCACTGGTAATCAAGGATCACCTAAAATGCCTCCTCTTCTGTACCACTGGACGGTCAGCAGTAATCTAATACTACATTGCTGTGATGATGTCATTCATCTTAGTTCATCTCACCATGTACTCTACAATCATCTCACATCACAAGAATGGTGAAGACAGTACAATCAAATATTTGAGATATATTCACATAACTTTCACTACCATCACTTCACTTGATCACTTGATTTCCCGTTAATCGTCGATTTGCTCGAGCGGGCGCCAGTAACGTCTCCATTTGTCCCTGTCACGTGCTAGTGTAGCCCAATGGCGTCTGTTCGCTCTAGGAACATGAAGAGCCTCAAACCGATCGTTCATGATCTTGATGAAGAAGTCTGACCATCTGGTAGGTGGGCGGCCATGCGGTCTTTTGACATCCCATGGAATCCAGTCGATAAAAGCTCTAGTCCAGTGGTCATCTTTAAATCTCATTACGTGACCAGCCCATCTGATTTTTGACACCTTGGCAAACGAGACAGCATCCCTGATTCTTGATCGTCGGATGTCGGAACTCCGGATTCTTTCTCTCATTTGAGTGAAACGTGATATTCCAAGCATAGCTCTTTCAATTCCTCTTTGGGAGACCGAATAGCGTTCTCATCCTGTTTGCGTAGGGCCCAGGTCTCTGAGGCATATGTTAATGCAGGAAGAACAGTGGAATCAAAGAGATGTGCCCAGAGCCAGAGGTTCTTCGTCCTCGTAGCTATTTCTTCGACCGTGAGTGTGGAAAGGTAGGACTACAGCTGAATCTTACGAAGACAATGTTTATGAGGAACAGCCTCGTTCCTGATGCCCCATTCGCTCTCAACGGAACGACCATCTCTGAATGCAACAGCTATGTTTACCTAGGTCAAGAAGTCAACATGACAAATGACCTGGCACCCAAGCTGTGCAGGAGGAAGAGAGTGGCTTGGAACGCCTTCAAGAGTGTCGAAAAAATAGCTAATTCACTACCATATGCTGTTATAATTGTCCATTTTTTATTTTTAATTTTTACTGTGCCTAACATGGATTACGCTTGGTCACATGCAGGTATGTAAAGGGAAAAGCCTATGTATGGGGTTTGGTATTATCTGGTTTGTGGCATTCATTGAGATTTGGAATATGATGAGTAAGGGCAGACTACATACTGTATTGAAGAGTCAAAACGTACGACAGTTCACAGCTATGTGTAACACAGTTTGAATATTTTAATCAAGAGCTCAATTAAATTGGTTAGTTATAAAGAGAAAAACAAAGGACACACATAAACTATCAAATCAATTAAAATTCTCAGCCAACTCCATTGGTGGAGAGCAACATGTGGACATCCAACAGATGTGCAGAAATATTCATACGTCCTCTATTAGTGTAGAATCAGACATAATGATAGTGATCTTCAGTGACACTACTGCTTCTTTCAGAGTTAAGTTTATACTCTGAAATCAAGGTTTTAATTTCATCATGTTGCTTTAAAGAGGACATCTGGGACTTTTAAAACCAGTAATTAACATTCTTTGCCTTCTCTGAGACTTTATTATTTTACATAAGGAGTAGCCCTGCCAGTGTTTTTAGCAGCACATGTAAATGAAGTGATTGCAGGAAATTTTAATTTCCTTCTGCTTTCTATTCCTACAATAGACCACAGAGTTTACCTGGATGTTTACTATGAAAGATTGTTCGATAAAATCCTAGTGAAATTTTCTTATCAATGTTAATTGCACTTGTGTGCTAGCAACACTTTTTTAAAAACATACGGGAAAAAAATAGGCACTTAGGACAGTTTTATCCTTTACAATTAGAAAGGTCAATAGCAGCTTTATTACCAAAAATAGAGCTTTTTAATCAGTTAATGCCTGATCTTTCCACTCTCCTGTCAGTAAAAATAAAGACTCTGTAACAATCACATGATTTTAGTGATTTTTTTAGCATATTTTAAAATACTTTTATATCCTCAGCTGATTTGTGAGGTTTTGTCTTTTTGTTTGGTCAGTTTGGGGGTCACACCCAGCAGTGCTCAGGGCTTACTCTTAGCTCTGTGCTCAAGGGTAACTCCTGGTGGGCCTGGGAGACCATATAGGGTGCCGAGGATCAAACCCAGGTTGGCCATGTGCAAGGCAAGCCTCATTACCTGCTGTACTATCAGTCTGGTCCCATTTGAGAGTTTTAGGCTCTTGTGCTGAGTGGGTCTACCTTTAAATTCTTGTATTAATAACCAAGCTCTATGATGTGACCAGTAGGGTGTCTTGAAGCTATTTAAAATAATAGCGTACAATACTTTGAGACTAGCTGAATAATCCACAGTAATAATACTTTGCTTTAGTATCTTCGTTTCCCTGATAGTAACTGTTTTAAGTGATTAGTGACTCAAATTCTATCTACTGAAAGTTTATGCAAAAATGTTGGTGTGTGGGATTTTTATGTGAGGTAAAATTACTCTATACAAATAAAAAAAAGTCAACCATAATCCATTTAAAATTTGGGATTCCCATTTGAAATATTATCAAAATAAACAGAAAATAAGTTGTCTAATCTCTGAAATCGATGTCTGAAGGCAAATTAATCCTAAAGAACCAAGTGGAAAATAAAAACCAATTTTAGTGCGTTTCATCACATAGGTAGACACAGGTAGGATTTAGCAATGTAAGTTTCTTCTTGTTTGTCCCCCTCATCTATCCCTCCCTCTGTCTCCACAGGTGAGATTTCTTGAGCAGAGCAAAATGAGACTTTCCCCCTGGAAACAGGACTTCCTCTACCTTATCTGTTTGGGGTAAATTAGAGCTGTAGAGGCAGATTCTACAACTGCAGAACTGAAACTTAGGGTTTGGGAAATTCATATTTCATGACAAATGTTTTTCATTTAAATGAAAGATGGCTTATAGGCAATTGTCTGGAACAAGTCCTTTTAAATAGCCAAAAGTAAGGAGTCAATCGAGAAGAAAATGCTTTCCCATTTTAAACAAGGCGCTTCTAGGAGGCTGCTCTCAAGAGTTATTTAAAAAATCTAAAGCCGTACTATTAAATGTGATTGGACAGCACAAAGAAAATTATTAGGATTCCATAAATTATTAGGATTCCAGAGTTTTAGCAAAAAAAAAACTTCGTTATTAACTTCTTTTAGGAAACATTTTATCCTTGAATGTAATGAGTAATTTGAGGGCAGTTCTGCTGAACTTTGAGGTAATGAATATTAAATTCCAAAGGGCTGAAAAATATGCAAAAATCTGTTAATATAGTATAGTAAGTTTTAATAGCTAAGTCAATTCTCTCCATCTTTAACATTATCAACTTATTGAAGCATACATATTCATGACCTGTGAACACCAAGCTTTTGGCAAGATTCAGGATTCTTTGAGACCCAACCATCTGAATTTTAAGGAGTCTGTTCCCTTATAAGTTGCTGATATTCCATTAGGCTTTAACACTGGAGTTGCAATTGGCTTTCTAGTATCTACCAATGTGGAGGTGAGATTCTGAGAAAAGGTGAGGATCTGAGGAATTCTTTAGTCTAAAAGCCTCAAAAATCCACCATCTTTTCTACTTTTAAAGTGAATTATGCATAGAAGTCTGTGCAAACTACAACATGTATTTCAATAACATTCTCAAAAACACCTAATATAGCTTAGCATTATTATTTAAGTTACATAAAATACGTCTTTATAAAAGTACAGGTTTTTTTTTTAAGTTTAAATTATACCCACTGAAATAGGTGCCAGGCTCTCTTTTTAGTACTAAAATAAGGCTGTATCGATCTACATTATTGCTTGGTCCTATGAAGTCATTAAAAACTTGTAATATAAAAAAAAATCCAGTCCTATTTCTTAAGAGAAAGTGCCCTAAAATTCCAGCTGTCATCGTCAGTTCTTTAACAAGTGGCCCAGAAACCTGGGAACTGAGGCTACTCGCGACTTGTTTTATCAGGATCCAAAACTGAGTGGGCTTGTACAGTCCCTACTTGGGCCGAGAAGCTGTTCGTCTGTTGTCCCCAATCATAGTAGTCAGGAGCAAAGCTAGGAGAGAAAACAAAAAAGAAAAAGTTTAGTGACTTGAAACACTGTACTTTTATGGATGTCGTGCTTATTTTAGGGGTTTCTCTAAACTACAAACAACAGCAGAGTTTTTAAAAGCAGCTTCTTCAAATAGGAAGGAAGCTAGAAGTCTGCCTGTAAAAGTCTACTGAACACTGAATACTGGAGAGCCCAGAAGTAAGAGCCCTAACCCAAATACTCTGTGTAAGGAAATGTTTGGGCCACAAGCTGTATCTGTATCTCCTCTAAAAGCTGCATAGACTTTTAGGAGCCTCTAGCACAGAAAGTAGAATGCTCCGCAAAGAGCCACAGAACCTCAGGAGCTTTTATCCTTCCCTTGCGCAGCCTAAACTCTGGGGGGAGGAGTCCAGCACCCATGTTCTGGGTTGCTGCTAGGGCTGTTCATCTCACACAGTCAGGGGTGTGTCTGCTCCTTTTCTTTCGGTCTCACCCTAACTCCAGCTCCAGAATCTTTAATGCAGGAATTTTCCTTCTGTTTTCAGATCTGATTGCAGCCCTTGCCCCTCTTCAGCATGTGTCTCTCTCTCAAGTGAACCAGGGCCTTACCTTCCTTGGAGCCCCTGAGGGGCAATATTCCACGCGAGGTCATCATCACTGTCATATCTTCTAGGGTTGTCAAAGAAATAGGATCGGGGACTGAATCCATGACTTGGGACCATTCCAGGGCTGGTCTGGAAAGACAGTTACTGTTTCAGTTTGCTTTCAGAAGCTCTAGCTCATCTTTATTTGAGCAGGAGACTAGAGAGATTTGATGCAACTGGAATAATGTTGCATCTGTTTGACTGGAGTGTGTATATGTGCATGCGCGCGCACGTGTGTGTGTGTATGTGTGTGTGTGTGTGTGTGTGTGTGTGTCTGGAGGATGAACCCAGATCAAGTATTCTACTGCCAACCTATATTCTTGACGAGATTTTCATATATTAACTTTTTCTTTTATCAATATGGCCAAAATCTTATTGTTATAATTATTCTTTAAAAGTCAGATAATGGCTAATTTGGGCAAACTAAATAGTCCCAAATTGGATATAAGTCTGCCTATCTTTATATGTCGTTTCTTCTGTTTTCAATCCTCAAGCTGAGTGCAAATCAAAAAAATGTCAAATGATTGGTTCAAGTACGCAGAAGATTAGAACTGTATTATGACACCCAAATCTTGCATAAAATCTAGCAGTTGATATCAATACTATCCTTTGATATCCTTTGATATCATTGGTGATCATTTTATAAGTTAAACAATAGGGTGCTGGACAGAGAGAGTAGAGCAAGCAGGGTGCTTCCTTCTCATGTGGCTGACCTGAAAAGATTTCATTTCCCAGAACCACATACAGTCCCCATATCACAGCCAGGAGTGAGCCCTAGGTGCAGAGCCAGGAGTAAGCCCTGAGAATAGCCAGCTGTGATCCCAAAACTAAAAACAACAACAAAAATGTTAACCAATACAGAGGAAAGGCTATTGTATAAAGACTGTTATATAATTCTCTATGTGAATTCCTGCTTTTCAAAGACTAAATATGGCCAAATATAGGTGGCAAGGTGAATTTACATAATGAGATGTCCTAAAATTTATGACTCAGAGCTGTTCAGTTATATCTATGACGAAAATTCTGTTGGACCCTTACTTCACATAAAATACAGAAAGTAACTCAAGATGGATTAAATACCTACGCTTAAGAGAAGAAACTAAAAAATTCTGAGGATGCAGTATAGGGGAAAATCTTCATGGTCTAAGAGTTACACAAAGGATTCTTAGATATGATACCAAAAGTATTAAGCAGGGAAAGAAAAGACAGAACACAGGGCTCCAGCAAAATTAAAAACATCTGTGCTTCAAAGGATAGCATCAGGGAACTGGAGGAGAGGGTCCTAGGAGGGCTATGGAGGACCATCTGCCTTGCGGGCATGAAGCCAGTTTACTCCCTGGTGCAACACCACAAGCTGAGTGCAATCATAGTGACATTACCTGCCCTCTCCCTGCAAGCATCTCAGCCCAAGAATGGAGTGATAGCCACAACTGAAGCAAAGCGTGTGCCCCCAGCCCACCCCACCATGCAAGCACTGCAAACGAGTGTACAAACCCCAGAGTGTGCAACAATGATTAACAACGATGAGGGGACTGGGGTGGATAGGTGGGTGGGGGACAGGGAAGTAAAACAAAAAGGGGGAAATAGTTTTTTTATTTATGATTATGCATCCTTTATACTCAATTTACTTCCTTGTGGTAAATTAGGGAGATACCATTCAGGACATAAAAGAACCATTCAGGGGCTGGAGCGATAGCACAGCAGGTAGGGCGTTTGCCTTGCACGCAGTCAACATGGCCGACCCGGGTTCTATTCCCAGCATCCCATATGGTCCCCCGAGCACCGCCAGGAGTAATTCCTGAGTGCATGAGCCAAGAGCAAACCCTGAGCATTGCCGGGTGTGACCCAAAAAGCAAAAAAAAAAACCATTGAACTCACTAAGGAAAGTTATCAGTTTGATCCACTGGGACTGATGGAGGGGCTTCAAGGTGCTTTCAGGGATATTCAAAGTCATAATTGTTCTCATAATTGGTATGTTAAGTTTTTATTTGCCTCTTCCATTGTGGCAACACTTGCACAAATGGTGTGGCTGCTTTAGCACCATCAAAACTCTGACACCAACACATAATTAGTTTTTTAAAAGAATCACCTAAGATTGTCTTTGTTAAAGCAATCAAATCACTATACTAAATAGAGGGAAATTCAGTTATTCACCTATATATTATGCTCCCTTTTTTCTTTTTTTTCAGGTTTTGGGGTCACATCTGGTAATACTCCAGGGTTATTCTTGGCTCTATGCTGAGGAATTACACCAGGCAAGCTTGGGGAACTATATGGAATACAGGGATCGAACCCAAATTGGCTGCATGCAAGGCAAATGCCTAACCCATTGAACTATTGCCTCTGCCCCAGCACATTTTTTAATGGATCATTAGTAACTATTCAGATTATATCAAGATAAGACAAGAGGTTGTTTATTATAGCTATACTTTTTTTTTAACACCTGCACTTCGCTTATACTGGCCCAAAACATTCACTATTCTTTCCTATAGGTTTCATAGGTCAGTGACTCAAAATTGTACTACTAGTTAATGTGATTAAAATCATTTATGGAGCAAAGTTCCCAGGAACTACCTCTCAACAATGCACTGTACCCCCAGAAAACCTATAAAGTTGATTGGCAGAAACGTAACCCAATTAGGGAAATGATTTTAGAATTATCTACAATGTTTGTATTTCCCTGAGTCACATTTCTGCCAACCAAGTTTATAGGTTGTCAGGGAGCAGGTAAGGGTTGAGGAGGAGTAGAAAAGAAAATGTGAAGTCTTCTATCCCCATATCACACCACTCACTAATCCCTGCGGAGAAAAGAACAGAATTGCCATTCTGCTTTCCTCTGCTGGGAGAAAAAAATGTGAACTGATTCTTAACAAGACTAGGCTCAAATACTAGTGGGCCCACGCTGGTTCTAAAACATAGTTAATTACTATCTTCGGGCTTTGAAATGCAAAAATATTTTATGTAAAAAAAATTATGCTACGCTAAACAGATATTTTCTTCTTCTCTCTCTCTCACACACAAAGAGAGAGAGAGAGAGAGAGAGAGAGAGAGAGAGAGAGAGAGAATATGTAAGTAGGCATGAGATAGTACAGAGGTAAAGATAATAGACTTGCCTTACATGCAGCCAACCAGATTAGATCCCTGATACCACATATGGTTCCCTAAGCAAAGCCAAGCCAGGAGTGACCCCTGAGCCAGATCCAGGAATAAGTATTAAATACCATCATGTGTGGTCCCAAGCAAAAACAAAACCTCAAACAGACGCATACATTTTTTAGATCACTATTAAATGAATGAGGCTCTAATGAAAAAGAAAAAATTCTGGTTGTTTGGTGATTGGAATTATGTGGTACTTTTGGCTCATATCAAATGGCTCATATCACACTTACAAGGTCCTTTGTGGGATTTCTCACTCGGAAGAAGTAAACTACTAACGTGGTAGGTAATAGTTCCCACACGAAAAGAACGACTCCAAACACTACATATCCAGCATCTCCCAGCTGATTCTTCAAATCTGCCTGTAGTGAAGAGAAAAAAATGAGAGGCACTAAGCCAAAAACAGAGGAATTAAGTTTGACTCTTCCAAATACTGAGACAAATTTTAATATAAATATATCCCCCTAAAACATATATGCAAAAATAATATAATACTAATGCTTCAGATCTCAGATGAGAAGTCTTTTAATCCATGCAGATTAGATGGTTATCTTCCTCAACACGTTCAAAAACAAGACACTGCCAATCTGATTTACTATTTCACTCTCCAGAATCTTATGTCCAAATTAAATTTCTCACTTAAATTTAAGCTGACTTCAATAATTGTATGTACCTTGATAGCATATTGTTTGTTTTCCAATCCACATAAATAACACCTGCACCTTGTCACTTGTTTTCCTTGCATCTATGGATCCAGATATCTATAAGTAAATATTCTCCTAATAAATCTCTTAGCTGAGGGCCAGATAAATAATTCAATGAGCTGAATGCATGCCTTACAAGCAGCAGGCCCAGGTTCCATCCCCAACACAATATTGTCCCATGAGCACTGCTGAGAACAGCCCAGAGCAATGCCAGGTGTGACCCAAAATTGAAAAAAAGAAGTGTAATTTCCGAATGGAAAGAAGAAATAAAATTATTTCGTTAAAAGAAAATCTGTTAACGGAGTTTTGGGGCTGGAGCAATAGCACGGCAGGTAGAGCGTTCGCCTTGCACGTGGCTGACCCGGGTTCAATTCCCAGCATCCCATACGGTCCCCTGAGCACTGCTAGGGGTAGCTCCTGAGTGCAGAGCCAGGAGTGACCCCTATGCATTGCTGGGTGTGACCCAAAAAAAAACAGATTAAGAGTTTCATTTTTGCAAGTTGAAATGCATTCTGCAGGAGGATGGTGCTGAGAGTTATCCAGTGTGAACTGCCTGTGAAAAGTGATCATTTAATGCTGCTGAACTACATCTTACAAATGGCTAACACCACAAATTATTCATTTATACAAAACAAAAAAAACCTCTATTATGAATGCCTCTCAAGTACCACCATGAAGTTGAGATGCTTGTGCATTTGCTTTTCTCAAAGCCGGGCATATATGCAGCAGCGCTCACTCGACTTTCTTCCATCGTGTGTCTGTGGTATTAGTCTGGGTTCATGGTGGTGGTGTCTGAATCCTTCCCAGTGACACCTTCCACGAGCCTCCTCTGAACTTTATCTTGTCTTCACAGGCTTAACTGATCATTTTTCTTGCCTTCAGTCTTGATTCAGTTCAAGTTTTGAGGACTGTTGAGGACTGTTAGGAGATCTGGATACACTGGCTATCCAGGACTTTTCCGGGACAGGCTAAGGATTTTTTGCAATTCAGTTCAATAGACTCCTATCAGAAAAGTATTCTTTCTTTATTGTGATTGCTTTTTCTCTATATCTCTCTTATTCAGTGAACGTAAATTTATACAGGCAAAGAGTGGCTCTGTTAATTCTGCATCCTCTGCACTTTGTCCAGGGCGAGAGATAAAAAATTGCTACCTATCAAATGACTGAGTGCTAATTCATTCTTTTTCATCAGATGCCTGATGCTACTTGCTCATTTACTTGGCAACATGAGTTTACAGTATGCTTTTTTAAAAAAAAATTAAGTGGTAAGTATCATGCTAAGTGAAATGAGTCAGAAAGAGAGGTACAGACAGAAAGATTGCATTCATCTGGGGAATATAAAGTAACAAAATAGGAGACTAACTTACAAAAATAGCCAAGATTAGTACCAGGAGGTTCACTCCATGGCTTGGAGGCCAGCCACACATGCTAGGGGAAAAGGCAGCTCAGATAGAGAAGGGAGCAACAAATAAAGGGTATTGAGAGGATCCTCAATGCTGAAAGTAGACTACAGACCGAACATGATTGCCACTCAATGCCTCTTTTGCAAACCACAGCACCCAAAAGGAGAGAGAGAACAAAAGGGAATGCCCTGCCACAGAGGCAGGGTGGGATGGGGGGATGGGGAGTGGGAGGGATACTGGGATCCGTGGTGCTGGAAAATGGGCACTGGTGAAGGGATGAGTACTCAATCATTGTATAACTGAAACCCAAGCACAAAGATTTGTACCTCATGGTGGTTCACTAATAAAAAATTTTTTTAAAGTATTATGTTAAGGCCACTGGTACAACGAGCTTTATATCTTCAGACACTTTTGTCTAGATTTCCTCATATTCTGTTAATTTATAGGCTCCACTAACTTTTTAATTTTTATTAGTGAGACACCATGAGGTACAGTTGTAGACTTACAAATTTTTGTACTTGGGTTTCAATTATACAATGATCAAATACCCATCCCTCCACCAGTGCCCATTTCCCACCACCACGGATCCCAGTATCCCTCCCACCCCCCATCTCCCCCACCCCACCCTGCCTCTGTGGCAGGGCATTCCCTTTTGTTCTCTCTCTCTTATCGGGTGTTGTAGGCTCCACTAATTTTTAAAAAAAATTCCCCCAATGGCCTGAGTAATAGTACAAAAGGTAGGATACTTGCTTTGCATGCAACTGATCAGGTTCTATCTCCCTACAGTCCACCAATCCCTACCAAGAGTAATACCTGGATACAGAGACAGGAGTAAGCCCTGAGTACCAGTCATGTGGCCCAAAAACTACCCCCCAAAATCTCCATAAATTGAAACTTTTAAGTATTTTTCAGAAATCTTAATACAATTAGTCTAGATTTGCAGAAATTATCCTATGTAAAGAAACTTCTTACATTTATGTGGAAGTAATTTTTTTTATTTTCAAGTCTTTAATGTTTAATTTTTTTTAATTTTTATTAGTAAAACACCATGAGGTACAGTTGTAGACTTATAAATTTTTGTGCTTGGGTTTCAGTTATACAATGATCGAGTACCCATCCCTCCATCAGTGCCCATTCTTATGTGGAAGTAATTTTAAGAAAACTATGTTTAACTTGGAAGTGCCCCAGAAGTGGTATAAAGAAGGAGAGAGAGAGAGAGAGAGAGAGAGAGAGAGACCGAGAGAGATGTGTATGTTAATGTGTGTGTCCATCCCACTTTATTTAGAAGTAAGATGGAACTATAATCCCATTTGACAGCTGAGATTAGATTCCACAAGAGACTGCCCAGCTCAGTTGAGAAGCATGTGGTTTCGCCTGCCACAGAGCACAGGCCTGCTGCCCAGGTAACACCCAGCCCCGACTCACCTGGTCTGAGACATTGTACCAGTCATAATCAAAGGAGTGTACACTCTTGCTCTGAGAAAATGACAAGGTGAATAGGTTGTAGCAGGCTCGGGAGGTGTAGAGCAGGATGACAGTCACGCCGATGGCCGTCACTTGACACACAGAGGAGCCCTGGAAAAGCAGAGGGAGCCATGAGGGATCCCCCAGCTCAGGTCCAGGATGCCAGGCCCCTCCCAGAACATGCTGTGTCTGGGCCTCGCATCCCTGAAGGGTTGCGAGCCTCCAGCCTGGGATGCAAACCCCATTCTAAATCCACCCTTACAAAATTTCAAGTCACCTTCAAACAGGTGATTCGAACATGGGACTAGTGGAGATACTTTCAACAGAGTTAAAATAAGCTGGGGATTTATAACAAGAAGAAAATCAAGTCTTCTGCTACATTTTTCAGTGCCACTTGCTCAGCTTGAAGAGGATGGCCTCAGCGAATGAGCCCAGAACCTGTCTCTGGTTTGGGGACAACCAAGCACTCTCAGAGCAGTGGCTAGAAGAGAGTTATGCTTACAGGCACTCCAGGCAGTAAGAACCTTTTCAAAACCCAGAATCTTCTAGGCTATGAGAAATACAGTCCTGCTGTAACTATGGGCTTGGTATTACACAGCTATCAGTGATTTGTGCCCCAACCCCTAAAGATATCCATTCCCAAACTCAACTGAAGGGACTTAGCTAGAAACATTCATATAACCCCAAATCAGAAATCGATGTTTGAGTTTTGAATTTAGAGTCACTAATGTTAAACCCAAGACGCTTCATTTTGTTAGTCATTTGTCTGTTACTGCATTTATCACAGGGATGCTCTAAATGGTATTTCTGACTTTCTAAACTTCAACTCTTTCTCTAATGCAATTCTGCCTGTGAAAGTCTTGGGTAGCCCCTAGATGGTAGATGATAAAACTAAGGCAAAATCCAATCTGAACTTGACCAAACTTACAGATGAAAAACTAACTTTGCCACACTAACCTAGGAGTTTGTAAGCGCTCAGGTAATTCTTAAGATGCTGTGATTAAGGCTCTGTATATTAGAAGCTAGGGACATAATCATCTACTGATCACCACTAAAGGCATAATAATGTAGGAGAGAGAGGTGTCCCTAAGTCTTCAAACTAAAATTATATGGGTCACACAGCCAAGAATAAGAAAGACTGGAGGACAGGGACAGGGGACATCTGCTTAGGAGATAGTCCAAAGTTAAGAAGCAGAGGGATCACCATATCCATTCACCATTCCACAAGGGGAGAAAGAAAAGGTTCAGAGGGACAAAGTCACTGGTAGCCTGGGTCCTCCAGGAAGCGAGAGCCCCAAGAATCTGCTTCCTAACCCCCAACTTCACAAGGCATCTGGATGAAGGCAGTGCTGTGAAACAAGCTGACCAAGAAGGGCACTTTGGCACCAGCCTGCAGGTCACATCTCTGCCCTTCTAATGGGAAAGCATAGCAGTGAAAAAGGACAAAGGGCCAGGGCTTCCCCTCCACCATGTCTGGCACTAGCTCTGATGCTCAGCAAGAGACAGCTTGTCCCAAACTCCCCAAACTCCAGGTCAGTGCCCAACGAGCCTGAACCTGTAGTGGCTGGAGAAGGTGGGGCAGAGGACCAATACCTCTGAAGCCCCAGCAGTGCACCCTGGCCAAGCAACTGACCATTGTCTGCCTTGGTGAAAGGTAAAGAGGCTAAGCTGGTATTTACCTTATCTACAGAGTGAGGGTAATACCGGCTTTGGTGGCACTGTGAGGACTGCATTCATTTCTACAGGTAGAGTTGACATAGTTTAAAGTGCCACAGTTTAAAGTCTATTGTTTCATGACTAAATTCCCAAGGAGATGCAAGCCAAACAGCTAAAATTCATGGTCACAACAGTCCACATGGCTGAGTACCCACCCTGATGAAGCCCTGGCAGCTGTACCCACACCCCACTGCTACAGTGCAGCCAACTGCTCAATTCCACTGCTTCAGTGATGACCTAGACCATAGATCCTGATGTTTCCAGATCACATGACTCTGAATCACACAGCCACATGTGCGGCCACATAACACCTCCTAATTCCTCAATGCTGAAATTCCAGCAGGAGCACCCTAACTTAAATGAGAAGGAAATGTAGATGCACACTAAACTCAACAAACAAAAACAATAACACAAAAAGCTCAACTGGCAACAAACAACTTAGTAAATTCTCAGATAAGGACTGAACAATTCTATAATGAGATATAACAACTGTCACATAAAAATTGATTTTATACTCATACTTATCAATTTTAATATTAAAACTTTAATCAGTTTCTACTCTAGAATTGTATTAACAATTGTGGCTTTGTCTACATTAAGATTTAAAAAAATAATTAAAATAAAATTGGACTGGAGCAGTAGCACAGCAGGTAGGGCATTTGCCTTGCATGCGGCCAACATGGCCGCCCTGGCCGACCCAGGTTCGATTCCTCTGCCCCTCTTGGACAGCCTGGCAAGCTACCCATGACATATTCGATATGTATATGAATAATACAGTAACAAGTGTCACAATGGAGACGTTACTGGGCCCGCTCGAGCAAATCAATGAACAACGGGAGGACAGTAACAGTGAAAATAAAATCAATCAATTACCTGAAACATGGTTTAGTGCTAGATGGATTTTTCTATTATTCACACATTTCCTGAGTCTGAGAAAATGCCAGTGAAACCAGGCCACTAGTAAAATGGAACTTAACTGCTTAATCATTTGCAGGCAGTAACTGGTGCCTGACTTGTTGAGTTGTGTTTGAAAAGCAGGAGACTTTTCAGTACAAGCTTACTGCAGGGCTCCTGGCTACATTTCCACCTTACCTTAGACTCCAAGTAAATGTTGGCTAAGGACATCTTCGAGATCTTATAGAGACAGATGGAGAGAGAGATGGCACACAGCACAAAGAGTGTGTCGTTAATGGCCACACGCACTGATACGATGACTTTCCTCTCCCACGTCCCAGTCTTCACCAGCACTGCACAGGTCAAATTCACCAACAGGAAAATGAGACTGATGAAGAGTGAGGCCAAGTAGAGGGGTAACCTGGAAAGGACAAGGGAGAACTGTAAGACTCTGCTCCCTATGTGCCATGCAGCACGTTCTGGATGATCTAAAACTTTCTGCTTAACTGCCAACAGCAGAAGATGCCAAAGGCGACACTTTCAAGCACAGACTCTGGAAGTAGTGGTTTCCAGATTCAAATTACGCACACCAGACTGCACTTGTGCCCTTGGGAGGGAGGGAGGAAGGGAGGGAGGGGATGCCCCCTTCTCTGAACGTCCTTTCCCTGCATGGTCTCCACATGGTGACTGTGCATTAACAGCAGTGCCATGATGCACTTGTCACTCAGGAAGACAAGGAGTAAAAACTAAGAGATCAGAGAAGGCTGCAAGAAGACAATAACCATCCTGTCCCCTAAAAGGTTCTGGAACCTCAGTGTTAGCATTTGGGAAAAAAAAAACACACTAAAATATGCTGACCCAGGGCTGGAGAGATAGCACAGCGGGTAGGGTGTTTGCCTTGCACGCAGCCGACCCGGGTTCAATTCCCAGCATCCCATATGGTCCACTGAGCCAGGAGTTAACTCCTGAGTGCAGAGCCAGGAGTAACCCTGTGCATTGCCAGGTGTGACCCAAAAAGCAAAAAAGAAAAAAAATGCTGACCCGTAGGCTAGTTTGAGTGTTGAGCTAAAGTTTAGAAAAGACTTTACCCCCCAAAAGTCATTGATAAGCAAGACAATGACAGCAATGCAATAGGAGTCGGAGACTTGAACACTCCTCTCTCATTGCTGGACAGTACGATGAGGCGAAAACTCGACAAGGAAATATGGTCCTTGAAAGAAGAAACGGAAGACATGGGCCTAATGGATATCAATAGGGACTTTTAACAACTCCGAAAGTAGAATACACATTCTTTTCCAATGTGTACGTGGGACATTCCCCAAGACTGAGCACATGCTGGGTGACAAGCTACTTATGTCCATAAGATCAAGAAAACAAAAATCATGTCAACTATCCTCTTCAGACCATGATGCTCTGAAAATGGAAATTAATTACAAACAGAAATGTGGAAAGGTCTCAAATACTTGAAAATTAAACAAAAATAATGATTTTCTTTAAAAAGTTTTTTTTATATAGCACTGATGATGGGAGTCAGTCTCACCTCACCTTCACTTGGGAACACTCACAGCACCTTCCTCCCCTAGACACAGACTTGTTGGGCTTCAAGACAAAGTGGCTTAAACTCCTAGGATATGTCTGTAAGTCCCAAAGCAGTGGCAGGGATGATTCTGAAGCTACAAAGCAATACTGGTGTTTCCAAAAGCCATTACTTGCTAGGATACACATGCCTGGGATCCAGGCCACCTCGAAATGTTGTGTCACTGACAGGACACATGATGGGGACATAGGGCAAGTTTGGAGGCAGGGGCTTCAGTCTTACTTTCTGCCTGCAGATGACAGATTGTTATAATAAGCCTCCATTGACCCTAGCAAACCTGCATGGGATTCAGTGTCTTGCATTTAGTAATTTTATTATCCACTGATTAACAATTCTCATGTCCTTTTCTGGGACATATTCTATCAAAAGAATATTCCCTACCTCACTCCTCATCTTTCAGCTCTTAGCTCAAAACTCACTCCTTCCAAGTATAATATTCTTCAACTCTCTTCCCTGTGCCTACATGTGCCATGCCTTCTTTCTCTCCCACTCCCCCTCCCTCCCTCTTTCTGCCTCTCTCTCTCTCTCTCTCTCTCTCTCTCTCTCTCTCTCTCTCTCTCTCACACACACACACACACACACACACACACACACACACACACACACACAAGCACACCCTGGTCTCTCTGCTGATTTCCATGTCCCTGTTCCTAAACTCTGCAGGTTTTTTTTTTCATTTGTTTATTTTAAATGAATCATCGTGAGGAAGTTACAGACTTACAAACTTTCGTGCTTGCGTTTCAGTCATACAATGATGGAGTACCCATCCCTCCACCAGTGCCCATTCTCCACCACCAATGTTCCCAGCATCCCTCCCACCACCCCCACCCCTTCCCCCCCACCCCGCCTCTGTGGATGCTCTCTCTCTCCTTCTGGGTGTTGTGATTTGCATAGAGGTATTGAGTGGCCATCCTTGAACTCTGCAGGTTTGACATTAGTTTACAATGAAGTATGCGGACAAAGTCTGCTGCTGCATCTCAGGCAGTGTGGTCCAGGAAAACCAAGGCTGTGGCTCTGTCCTACAGCACTGTTAGGCAGCAGGAGCTCAACAAACGGGTTCCAGAGGGAGAGACACCCCAGCACTGCAGGACCGCAGCATCACCCCTTGGGGCTTTGTACCAACCCGTCAGTCCTGTTGACCAAGAGAAGCTGCTGGGGGCCCCAGGGCCTCCCCCTGCAAATAAAAGGGGGAACGGGGGGAGAAGGAAAGAGTGGAGATCTGCTTTCTGCCTTCTAGAAGTGCAGCATGAGCTGTGTAAGCAAGATCGGCCCCTCTCTTGGGGGACCCAGTGAAACTTCAGGAGCTGCATTTCTCAAGGTATAAGGGCTCCTCCTTCCAGCCTGAGCTGTGGGCCGGTTCCTCCCGAAGGTTGACTCAGATAAGGGCAAATGGGTGGTTCTGGAAGGAGCAGTAGGAGCGGGAGAGTCAGGGAGCCTGGGCAGTCCTGGGCCACTGAGTGCCCTAGGCCAAGGCAAGACTCCCACAGTGAGGGGCTCTCATGAGGCTCAGACGCAAAGGGGTGACAGCAGTGGTCTCGTTTGTGTTTCAGAAAGACCTTCTGGGGCACAGTGAAGACAGGGATGGGACAGAGAACCTGAAGTGAGGGACAGGGTCGCCCTGATACTGAGGGGCATGCGCACGGAGATCAGAATTAGGGACCCAGACTCTGGGGTGCCATTCAAGGACACAAGGACATGCCGGGGGTTCAGGTGTGGCAAAAAGCCAGACTCCACCCCAGATGTGTGAGCCAGACCCCAAGGGTTGTGTGCACGTGAAAGGGGCAGGCAGTGCTCCGAGCCTTAGCGTTGAATTCCATCGTCCTTGTACAGTGATACATACAAAGACAGAAACAACTAGTTTTGGAACATTCAACTAGTTTTTGAATCCGTTGTCATGAGCAGCCTCTTTCTAAGGACGCACTCAGGGATCAATACTTCCTGATCCAAGGTACCCCACCTGTTGGGGTCTCTGCTCTTCCTGCTGTGTGAAGGACTCAGTCCAGCTCCTCCCGGCCGGCAAGTTCCTCCCTCGCATAGAGCCCAGATGTGATGACTGTTCTGACATAACCTCTGACCTCAGGCTCTTGGGTAGATTCCTCGAACATGCAGACAGCTGTGCCACTCTAGGGACAAAGCATCGTCCAGCAGACTACTCAGAAAGAGCAGTACCTGGCCCGAAGGGGCCCAGCACCCACACACTGTGGTGGGTTCGCGCTAGTGCTCGATGCTCTGGTTCTCTTGTCCACAGCCAGGGCAGCCCTGAGACCCTTTCCTGTGTAGTGGAGTCTAGGATCCTCTTCCAAAGAGAAACTCTATTTCCCTTGGAAGAGGATTCTGGACTCCACCACTTCCAAGGAGGAGTGTTTCTTTTTTTGTTGGGTTTTTGTTGGGTTTTTTTAAAGTTAATCTTTTTTTTTTATTTTTTATTAGTGAATCACCGTGAGGTACAGTTACAGACTTACAAACTTTCATGCTTGTGTTTCAGTCATACTCATCCCTCCACCAGTGCCCATATCCCACCACCAATGGTCCCAGCATCCCTCCCACCACCACCATCTCGTCCCCTCCACCCCACCCCACCTCTGTGGCAGGGCATTCTCTTTTGCTCTCTCTCTACTTTTGGGTGTTGTGGTTTGCAACAGAGGTATTGAGCAGCCATCGTGTTCGGTCTACTTTCAGCACACAGCTCCCATCCCTAGCGAGCCCTCCAGCACTCTTTACTTGGTGGTCCCTTCTCTATCTGAACTGCCTCTTCCCCCAGTATGTGAGGCCGGCTTCTAAACTGTGGAGTAATCCAAGGAGGAGTATTTCTTCCCACGCTGAAACCTACTGTAAAGTCCAGCGTTTTCCTGAAGGGAAGGAATTGCAAGGAAACGCCTTCTGCTTGTAGGTCAGGTCCTTACTGAGGCTGGTCCTCTCACAGCCCAAGGAAAGAGACCTGAGACACCTCAGAGGGCTTGTGTGAGCTTGAGGAGGAGTCTGAGGAGCTGTTCTCACCGCATCTGCTCGATCTGGCTCATGAGAAGGGTTTTCTCTGTTACCTACCACAGACATGACACAGCTCTAGGGCACGTGGACATGGTGACCGGGACAAAAGCAGAATGTTTGGGGAATTTCTATTTCTGCATTCTGGTTCCTCAAAAGTCTTTTTTTTTGGGGGGGGGAGCACACCCAGCGGTGCTCAGGGCTTACAACAAGCTCTGTGCACAAGGATTACTGAAGGTGCTTGGGGGACGATATGCAGTACCTGAGATTGAACATGGGTCAGCTGTAAACAAGGAAAGCACATTACTAACTGTACTTTCTTTCTGATCCAAAAGCCCAAGTATGGGGTTGTACTATCACTGTCACTGTCACTCACTGTCATCCCATTGTTCATCGATTTACTCAAGCAGGCACTAGTAACATCTCCATTCGTCCCAGCACTGAGATTTTTGCAGCCTCTCCTTACTTTTCTTTCCCAACGCTGCCATATTGGAGGCTCTTTCAGGATTAGGGGAATGAGACCTGTTATTGTTACTGTTTGTGGCATACTGAATATGCCACAGTTAGCTTGCCAGGCTCTGCCATATGCCAGGCTCTCTGATATATATATATATATATATATATACATATATATATATATACACACACACACACACACACACACATTTCCCTCTATGTTTTGTTGCCTATTGTCTAAATTCCATCAAATATGGTGTGCTAATTATGGAAAACGGGTAGGAAGTGTCTTATGATGTGTCCAGAAATATGTTCACTCATATGTGAGGCTCGGCCCAAGTGTGTGGAAAGTGCTTTCCACACGCTCCACACGCTCAGGCTTG